GACAAAGTACACATCAATATACCTTTCATCGATGCCATTTCTAAAATGCCTAAATATGCTAAATTTTTAAAGGAGACTTTTATCAAGAAGAGGAAGCTGAGAGCATATAAAACTGTAAAGCTCATTGAGGAGTGCTTAGCTATAGTCCTTTTCCACCTAACTTTAAAGACCGAGGGAGTTAACCAATTTTTATACTTATATTACTTAATAATTTTTTATAGAATATAAGATTTAACCAATTTAACCACTGAATTATATATATATATAACATTTGTAGGTATGTTATTCAAAATTTAATATTTACTTACATTTAAAAAATATATTACCTATTGAAAATACGAATAACTCATCCATTAAATTATTTAATTTGTGCAGTTGGAATTTGGTGTAAGTCTTTTAGACTTACACCTAGTATCAATGGATCTTATCCCTATATATATATATATATATAATTAACTAAAAATGTAAACATTTATATTGTTGATCTTTATGAAAAAAAATTACATGTACTAAGTTAAAAATTGTATTTACAGTGGATTAATTATAGTAAAAATTTTAATTTGTTAACATGTCTTATATTTTAAACTTTAGTTTAATTATGTTTTTAGTTTTTATAAAAGTAACACTTTTTGAGATAAGTTCTTAATTTTTTTTTATTAGGAAATAGTCTTTAACATTTTGAAAATGTAAGAATTAGTTCAAGTCATCAACTCTGTTTTATTAAGTGATAAACTAGATAACATAAATTCAGCTCATCATTGTTATGTCATCGTTATTTTTCATATTTTATTATGCAAAAATTAATATTTATAAAATTTTCCTAAAATATTGTATATCATTTTTCTCTTGGTTTTTCCTTTTCTTTAACTTGCGAACTCTAACTAAAAACCCTAACTTCCTTATCTCCCCAAAATCTTCCCTTCAAATTGAAGAAGGAAGCAGCAAAAGTATTCCAATAGAAATGTGTTGTTCATTTGAATACTCTGTTATTCATAAGAGGAGGAGGAGAAGGAGGAGGAAAGAATGTGCTAATAGGAACAAATAAGCAATCTCCATGTTAGTTTTGTAATGCTCTAAAATTTGTAATATTATATAGTTATTAATGTGTATATATATATATATATATATATATATATATATATATATATATATATCTATGTGTGTGTGTGTGTGGTTTGCCCTATAGGGTGTGTTGATTGACATGAGGACGATGTATATATGTGTGTAATGATGTTGACGCGTATGAATATGTAATGTGAATTGTGACTGGACTAGAATAGATTGAATATATATATATATATATATATGTGTGTGTGTGTGTGTGTGTGTGTGTGTGTGTGTACTGAGAATGTTAGACTGTGACTGGTTTGAATTATGAAAATTTGGCTAAGTGTCTGATACAGGGTAATCTCGCTATAGCGAGAGGGCCTTGGGAGGAAGGCGTGAAACTGTCGCCTTCTCACTATAGCGAGAGGTCTCTCGCTGTAGCAAGAGAACGACAGTTTGGGATTCAATTCTGGATGCAGTCTCGCTGTAGCGAGATTCTGCAGAAACCAGAATGGAATTCCCTTTGAGATTTTTGTTGCAGCAAGAATGTCTCGCTGTAGCAAGAGTGTCGCGACCAAAAAGGGATTTAAAGGAGTTTAAGGTTTAGGGAACCTCATTTCTTTTATCTACCTTTGAAATTTCTTTGATTCTTTCAATTTCAAATCCTATTTCACCAATTAAAGTGCCTCCAAAGCCGTTCTTAAGCTAGATTGAAAGTTGGATTCATATTGGGAACGCTTGGAGGTGAGTTTTAATGGTTAGGGTTTTGGTTTTTGTCCCCCTTCTCTGTTTTCTGGGTTCTCTTCGAGTTCTTATGAGATTTTTCATGTGTTTTAGGGACAAAATCCAAGTGAAGACCATTTGCTACCATCGTTTTGTGTTGAGTCTTTAATTTAAGGTAAGGGGGGACTCTACCCTATCTCAATTTGTTTGAAAATTCATTTACTTGCTATGTTTTGGTAATGCGATTGAGATATGATATGTGAATTGGTGTGTTTGATAGATAATGCATGTTAGGTATGATTTTGATGAATTTGGAGCCTATTATGAGTAAATTTGGATGAAGAATTGATGTGAAACATAAATGAATGTAGGCCTGTCATTGATGGATGTAGATTATGTTGAAATTGTTATGTGTGAGTTGGAAATGTTGTGCGTCGAATGTAACGTGAATGAATATGGGCACTTGTGCCATGTGTTGTGAATGAATGTGGGTGAATGGGGCTAAATGAATATTGTATGTGACTGAAATGTATGTGAATGAGGTGTGTTAAATGTCATTGTAATGATGCTATGAATGGTTTAGCAATTCACTGGAGGTGTGGAAGATGAGGACAATAGAAATATCTTGGGGAAAAGAGAGTGGTGGTGATACCAACAGTGGGCGTGGGTGCACCACAAGCCACACACTCTCCTCCTGACTAGACCTCAGACCACTACCTTTACTGAACAACTCGTGACTACCCACACAGTATCCGTGAAGCAGGGGTAACCAGCGATCATCCATGGTATGAATCTGTGATCACAGTACCACAGTGAGTGTGGCTAAGTGCAGTGAACGCACTTGTGCATGAAATATTGTTGGTGGTGCAGTGAGCGCACCGGTTGTGACATGAAATGAATTACTTGACATTGTTGCTTATGATTATACTTGTGTAAATTGTATTCAAAATGATGTGACGCATGTGCAACGTGAGACTCTATATTTGATTATGTGTTGGATAGTGTAGAGTACTCACCCATACATTTATTTTTTAGGTGATCAAGATGATCAACACCAGACTCAGTGAAGGGGTGGATGAAACTGCTATAGAGCTTAAATTTTATTTTGGAATTACAATGTAATTGGATTGGTCCTATAATAGTTAAAGATATAAACTGGCAATTCCTTATTGTTTTGTAAAATCCTTGATGAAACTCTGTATTGGAAAAATATTGTTTAAATGAAACTTTAATTATTCCTATCTTAGGAAATTTATTATTTGAAATTAAATTAAGGTGTTACAAGTCTCACATGACATAAACTTGATGGTGGATACATCAAGGTTATTTGCATTGAATTTAAATGAAGGTCAACGTGGGTCGCTGACCTCAATGAATTGTCAGCACCTTAACTTATTTTCCTACTTTAATTATTGCATTGCAGGTAAGCATGTTTGTTCATACCAAAAATTATTTGAAAATATTTTAGTTTTCGTGGCTCAGCTCTCATCAATGGGTTTCAAGAATTTTAATTTTCTAATGTTCTTTTTCTATTCCATACCATGTTGCAATGTGTCATTCCTTTTTTTTTTTTTGCAAAAAATTTAGAAGGGGTGACCTACGAGAAAGAAGTGAGTGAATGTTAATCAGATTGAGAAAAAATAATGGTGACTCTAGTAAAGCCATGACAACGTGGTTAGAGTTAGGGTTTATTTTTTCGATGGAGAGGGTTTTAGAATTTTGGAAGGGAGATGTAGAACCACTTATCACTTCAATTAGCAGTTGCAAAAAAAGCAATGATTGCTATGTTATAGGTAAGAGAAGTATTTTATGGAGAGAGAAAAGTGTGCTTTGAACAATTGCACGAGAAGAAAATATTGAAGAATTTTTTTTATAAATATAAATATTTTTATGAATTTTTTAAAAAATTTAAATAATAAAATATAAAAAATAACTATGATGTGACGATAAATTATATTTCCGTTATATAGTTCATTACTTAATAAAATATAGTTGAAGATAAAAATTAAATTTTTACATTTTAAAGATGTTAAAGAGTGAATTTTAACTATTTTCAAGAGAGTTACTTGTATGTTATTTTTATAAAGATTAAAATCATAATTAAACCTTAAACTTTTTTATTATATTTAAGGAGTCATTTGCAAGATAAAGTTATAAAGATTTATATATCGATCTTTATATTTTAATAATTTATTAATTTTAATTTCTAAAATTATTATTTTTTAGTTTTTTTATATGGTTTGATAAAAAAAAATTAAAATTTAGTAGTTATAATGAACCTAGTAAAAACAAAAAACAAAAAATCACTAAAGTAGAGGAGATAAAAATATATTTATATTTAATCCTATATTTGTGAATATATGTGAAAGAGAAAAGTTACATGTAAACTTCAAATAGATTTTTATTAAAAAATTTATTTTGAAATCAACAACTGAATTAAAAAATTGTATCATTTAAATTATGGTTGTAAAAAGTTATATTCTACTTTATTTAAATACATCAAAATTTACATAATATTATTTTTAGTTATAATTATAAAAAATAAATATTTAATCCATCAACTTTAATAAAAAGTATTTATATATCATAAATTTATATTATATTCTAAAAACACTTATAAAATTGATTAGTGTCTTATATATTAAATAAATGAATAAATTTAACGTAAATACTACTCAAATTACACATGTATCATAATAAATGAGTGTATAATAAGAATTTAATAATTAATACATTTAAAAATAAACTTTTATATTTTATAAGTTAAACTAAAAAATATTGATCATTTTTTTATAAATAAGTATGGAAGTGATATATTTGAAATATATAAAAATATTTATTTTATTTTTTTTGCTGAATGGGAAAGAAATAGGAAAAAAGTATTCTCTAAGAAAAACAGTGTCAGGTATATCCAATATTAGGCTTAAGTGAACATAAGGAGGAGAGTCCTCCCATATGTCACTCCAGCAACAAAGTTAGCACCCTTTTTTGCCAGGATATCAGCACAATAATTTGCTTGATGAAGCGTATGATGAATTTCCACTTCCCCCTCCTGTAACAGAAGTTTCCTGATACAAGATAGTAGACTTGCATGTTTATGGCTGCCAAAATTCTTGCTAGCTATTTAGCGCACATGGAGTCCGTAAAACATTTGATCCTGCGGTAAAACCTATCCCACGCCAACCTCAAGCCATGGAATATCTCGAGAAGCTCACCAATAAGACACGATGCTATGTCGCAGGATCCAGCATAACCAAAAAGCCACTGCCTTTATTGTCACGTAGAAGGCCACCAAAACCTACAAGTCCAGGACTCCCTCTGTCACTACCATCGGAGTTAAGTTGAGTGTATCCGTGTGGGGGAGGTATCCATCTTAATGAATGGGGGACACACTGCATAGTCTTGTCCTGTCCCAAGACAGACTGAATCTCTATTACCTCAAGAGAGATCTTTGACAAGATATGATTAAAATTCCAAGCTTTCTTGCTAAAGATAAGATCATTCCTACCCTTCCGTATGTTCCAAAGTGTAATACAGAATAAGGTGCTACGGTTCCTGAAGATCCACTTACTAAGCCACTCCTTGCCTTCACTAATCTGAAACCTTTGATCAACGTCGAACTTCAACATGGATCATACATAAGTATTCGAGGTACAATCTCTGAAGCAATGAGTTAAGGTCTCTGCATCTTGGGCAAATATAGGAATTAGCCATATGTCTGTTATATCTAACTTTATTAGTTGGAAGCGCATCTAGAAGAGATAGCCATAAGAAAAATAGAATATTCCGGAGTAAAGGAAGCTTCCACACATCCTTCATCCTTACTTCTTTACGCAGCTGCAAGGGGTTAAGAAGGAATTTACAAGCGGACTTGCAAGTATAAAGTCCATGAGACTCTCTTCCCCATATCACCTCATCACACATGTCCCCAGAGTCGTCCACAAATGTGCCAATAACCGTTGATTTCTGCTCATCACTAAGCCAGGTAGCAACTATGTTCCAGTCCCACCTCCCCCGACCTTTGTAAACATCCTTGACCTTTAAGTTGATGTCTTGGATATTCACACACGGAATAAGCACAGCTAAGGGACCTGTTTCAAGCCACTTACGTACCACATAAAGGCTGAATCGTCACCGATACGCACTATGTAAGATTCTCGAAGCTCATTCCACGCATGACAAAGGGATCGCTAAACATAAGAACTACCTACTCTAGGATTTACCATATGGAAGAGATTGCTATCATAGAGATATTTATTGTTCAGAAGCTGGACCCATAACTTATCTGGTTCCTTTATCAAAGACCACGAGAGTTTATCCAGTAAAACAGTATTGTGAGTTGTAGCTCTACGGATATCTAAACCACTATTCTTGACTTCATTTGAGACTAGGTCCCAGTCAACTAAGCTCTAATAAGCACCCTGATCCCCTTTAGCGTTCCAAATGAACCTGCGAGTGATACTATCAATTTTATTGCATATAATTGGTGGAATCCAAGAGGTTTGCATAGTGTAAGTTGGAATTGAGTTAAGCACTGACTTGGATAAGGTTACTCTCCCTGGTTTAGAAAGGATTCTTTCCTTCTAACTAGCCAAACGATTTTGAACTCTGTCCACAATATACTGAAAATCCCGTTTACGAACTCTCTTATTAGAAAAAGGTATACCCAAGTACCTTTCTAAGTCAGTAGTTGCTTTCATCCTAGAAATTGCTTCTAAACTTGTCACCTTGCTTCTTCGAACATTTGCAGAGGCGAAAAATTTGGCTTTGTCGAGATTAACTCTGAGCCTAGAAGCAAGATAGAAGGAGTCCAAAACTTCTTTAACTATTTGGACTTGAGAGTTTGAGGCTTTGGCAAAGAACAAGCAGTCATTAGCAAAGAATAGATGAAAAATCGTAGGCCTTCCTCTAGAAATCTTAATTGGTTTCCAAGTCTCATTGTTCACTTTATCCCAGATGAGCATTGGTAGTTTTTCCATGCAAAGTACGAAAAGGAACGGGGCAAGGGGATCACCTTGACGAGCGCCCCTACTAGGGTTGAATGGAGGGTAACCGAGAGCCATTCCAAGCTAGAAAGAGAATTGATTTTTCCAAACAGCTCATGATGAGCGGATGATTTGTGCAGGGAAGCCAAATTTAGATAAGGTGAGTTGAAGAAAATTCTAACTGACCCGATTGTACGCCTTTTCAAGGTCCACTTTAAATTGTAGGATCTCTGAGTTGCCTTTTTTCGCCTCATATGATGAACTACCTCTTGAGCAACAATGATATTGTCAGTGGTGCCTCTGCCAGGAATAAAACTACTCTGATGGGGACCAATCATGTTGTTCCAAAAGGCATGTAATTGTTGCACAATGATTTTAAAGATTAGCTTCAAAACCACGTTGCACTAATAAATAGGCCTAAAATCCTTCATAGTTAAGGGAGCATCTATTTTAGGGATCAACACCACCTGAGCTTTCACCAGATAATCCTCCACCTAGCTATCCTGAAAAGCCCTTTGAATTGTTGTGCAAACATCCTCCCCCACAAGGTCCCAATAAGTCTTGTAAAAGACTGCTTGGAAACCATCAGGCCCGAGGACCTTATATGACTTCATCAAATGCAAGGCTTTAGAGATCTCTAGATAAGTCACTGGAGACATAAGAGATGTCCCAACAGCAGGAAGGGTGAGAAAATTCTCTAATTCAAGGCTAGTTGAGGAGCACAAGGGATTATTAATGAACAATTCCTGAAAGCGTCTGGCTTTTTCCTTAATGAGATCTTCATCATTGCACCATCGATTGTGAATTGAGATACCACTTATACGATTTTGTCTCCGCCGAATGATTGTTTGAGTATGAAAGAATTTGATATTCTTATTACCAAATTTGATATATTACTCACGTGACTTTTGGTACCAAAGTATTTCCTCTTGGCGAAGAGTATTGTTATAATCAGCCTATAATTGTTTCTCCAAAGATATTAAAGAAGAAGAAGGGAAAGCCTCCATTTGATATTAGGCACCTCTGATTGTAGCTTCCAGCTGTCTTTTCCGCCTAAAAATATTACCAAAAATGTGCTTGTTGAAATAATTAGACTGAGAACGTACCTCTTGGAGCTTGGTGGACAAATCCCCATGATGTTTCAAGGCATGGTCAACCACATTAAAATAGTCCTTGTGAAGGATCCATGAAGCATGAAATCGAAATGGATGATCCACGTTACGCTGAATAAGCATTTCACATGCAAGGACAGTAGGGTGATGGTCTGAGTGAAGATGTGGGAGGACCTGAATGGAAGCCTCCAGAAAAGCTAGCAACCAATTATTATCACCAAGGCCTTGGTCAAGCTTTTTGAGCTTTATTTGTTCCCCCTGGCTATGACACACCCAAGTATAATGCGCCCCATAGGTATGTATGCCCACCATATTGCACTTGTTTAAACAATCATTAGAAAGCATTGCTCTTGATGAGATAAATTGGCAACCCAAAGAATGAGAGGGAGAGGTGACTTCACTAAAATCTCCTAAGATGGCCCAAGGAACACACATTCTGCTATGCAAGTTAGAAAGATACTCCCAAAACGTAGTACGTTAAGATGCCACAGGACTAGCATAGACAAAGGTGCAAACCCAAGATTGATCATTCATTCTTAAATCTACCGAAATAGATTTGTTATTAGATTCAATAAGATGAGTAAGGATTGGACTCTGACACCGAAGAACCCATAACCCACTTGAGTGACCTGAAGCCTCTTGAATATCAACTAGATAGTAGCCCAACCTTGACCAAAATTTTCTAACCCTTGAAAAAGCCACATGCGGTTCTATAATGGCTAAAAGAGACGGATGATTCTTATTCACAAATTCCTGAAGATGGCCTTTAGCCAGCCTGCTTGCTGAGCCTCTAACATTCCATGAGGCCAATTTAACTCCTTGGAATCCTATCATCATCAAACACCAAATAGGGAGAAGCCTCTGCTGATTATTCGTGCATGTAGTGATAGGTCTTGAGTACCTGTTCCACATTATCTAGCATTTTCAAATCATTCTGTGACTGACCAATTACAATCATTGCACCAATATCTTCACTCATAACTACACCTGCCGCAAATTGGAAATCAGATGGGTAAGGTTAGGATAGAGGTCCGGTGGGTTGAACCCCATTCTCATGAGTGAACACTTCGGTATCAGAAGGTTTCAGTGGTTGTCCCTCATCCATGTATTCATTGAAGGGATTTGGGGTATTAACCACGTAGGTTTGAGATTCGTCCTCCAGACGCACACATTTATTTTTCTCTCATTTTTGTCTCTGCATGTCAACGCTGTGGACAACCTGTGATGTAGCAAGAGTTGCGGGTTGACTTGGTTGATAATCTTTTCTGCCAGTCCGTGGTGGACCCCCTTGGCTTTATGAGGGGGATTTAATAATAAATTATTATTGATAAGTTGCAGATTTTTAGACAGCGGTTTCTTCCATGATTTTCGCTTAATCACCATCCAATCTCTATGATCGCAGGAGTGCAAATTTGGAAACCCTACCTCTTCATTAGGTTTGTGATCATACCTGAGAAGGTTTCAATGTCTCCTTCTAAACTTGAGACGTTTTAGAGTCCTCATTGGTATGTGGTTGGTGTTTATTTGCAGCTTCCTTCATGGAAGGGCAATGCCTAAGCAGGTGCCCATGATATCCACATTTAGAGCATAAAACATGAAGACCTTTATAGTCAACTGGGTACCAAACTCTCATGAGGCTGACTTTGCCCACGATAGGCACGGTGAGGTCAATCTCCACGCATACGCACGCATATTTACCTCTTGTAACATTCACCATATTCATGTCCACCCTTAAAGGTTTACCCACTGTTTTGGCCTTAGTCATTAGCACATTCTCATCAAAGAAAGCTATATTAAGACTTGAGAAACGAATCTAAATGAGGGTGCTAGTGACTTTTACAACCGGGGAAAGAAATGTTGGCGATCAGGTTTGGACTGCAAGGCAATGGTCGAAGATCATCCACGACCCTCCTTCCATAACCTTCGCACAGTCTGCTTTAGATAAAACTTGACCAAGAAATAACCATGTCCTACATCTACCATTTCAAACCCCAAATGCAGCTTCTAACGTTTGGAAAGTCGATCCTTCACGACGTTGAAACCAACATTCTTGCCTAGGAGTTTGACTACCAGAGCGTCTTCTCATGGCATGCATAACTTTTTGACATAACCTTCGTCCAGATGAACCATAGACTTCAAATGGTTCTTCTCGACAAATTTCACTTTTACTAATTTAGTAGCCTCCAAATCAATCTTTTCCCTTGTAGGCAAGACATCTTTGTTACCTAGGACCATGTCTTTGAAAGATGTGGTCTTGGAATGGTTTCTATCTGGCGGATTCTTAGATCGTCGATCTTCATACGAAACTCTAGCAGAGGTTTCGGTCTCCATTATACTTATATTTTTTATTTTGATAAAATTTAATGTATATTTTATATACAATAATTAAATAAATAACAATAATAATATAATTATTTATATAATTTACAACAATATTGTTGTATCTCTGTCCGATAATGACCTAGATGCTCTTATGTACAAATTGATTCTACTACTATATCGGTAAAAGCTACTCAAATAAAGAGATTAAAGGACATTAGTTTCAATTTGTAAAGTCAAATTTAAACAATTCAAAATAATAAATTTTATTAAAAAAATTACAATATTTAAATATTTAAACTCAGGTTTAATAAAAAAGTTAAAAATATATATTATTAAATAAACTTAATTATATTGTTTTCTTATAAAAATAGTATCATTTAAGATAAGTTTTTAAATTTTTTTATTAAAATTTAATTTCTGACATTTTGAAAATGTAAAAATTAATTTTTGTCGCTTAAAAAATGTCAAATTAAATTCTAACATTTTTTTAAAATTTATCCTAAAAGCACTATTTTTATTGGAATTAAAAATATAATTAATCAGTAACAATAGATTGTTCATTGGAATATATTCCACCGCTGACCTAAGGCAGCGTGTCTAAGGCGAAAAACACGCTTTCACAAAACTAAGACAGTCTAACGCAGCTTAATCAAATTCACTTAATCGAAAAGTTTTGAGAGAGAAAGAGAGAGAATGGGGAAAAAACAAATCCCAGACCCTCCTAATTTGAAGAAATTCGGTGTTCCATTCTATTCTGTTGCTTGGATTCCCCAACACGTTATCAAATCACGCCAATTTGAAACCGCTGATCAATCCTCCGATGCCGATCACAACTCTGCACCGGCGACGGAGACAGAGCCCGCCACAGCGGAATTGTCCGGCGGTAACTATCTCGTGTTCGCCGGCGGTGGTGGAGAAGGCCGCAGCGGTATCCCCAATGCTGTGTTGCTTGGGCACTTCGATGTTGCATCGAATACTCTCGCTGACCAACCGGTACATTATATTTCTTGCTCGATTCCGGAATTCTTAGGAATTCTTTTTGGTGGCTAATATTTGTGATTCGAAACTAGAAGATTTGGATCTGGTCTTGATTAGGAATTTCGTCTTGTGAGATGGAATGCGGACTAATGCTTGTTTGTGTTACAATGCGAGGAATCTATACTCGTTGCTTGATATAGCTTCAAGGTTGATTTTGTGTGTTGTTTTGTAGTAGACTTGTTCAAATTGTTAGCAAATGATGTGTTCTTTTTTTGTTGTTCGTTTGAGATTGTATAAAATTCTGTAGAAAATGCAGTTCATGTGTTTATAATACTATACTTTCTTGTTTGAGTAACCTTATCATTATTTCAGGTGTGCAAGGTAGGAACTGATTCTGAATTGCCTTATAGGATGGCACTTCACCCCAATGGAGATGGCCTTATTTGTGCAATGGAAACACCTAAGATTTGCAGGTCTTTTGCTTTCCATCTCTTCTTTGCTTCATATTCATTTGGGATTCATTTATCTGCTCAATTCTTCTTGTCAAATATTTTGAATGAGTGAATCCGGCGTAGTTTGAGCATACAAGTAGGCCGGTCATGCTTGGTTGGGCAGTTGGAAAATGAAAGCATCTTTCATCTAGACCTTAGCATGTTCAAATGCATTTCCATTTTCCACCTACTCAATCTAGTGATCTGAAATGCAGATAAAGGTAGGAAAAGAACATAATGAATTCAAAACTATCAGCTTTGTTGCTTTATGATCCAACATCTAGACATTTCCAAAAGTATTAAGTGACTATCATGTTGAGGAACTATTTGAGCTCTATATAGTTTGGTTATATATCTAAGGTATAGCCTTTTTATGTTCACTCACTAGGTAAGAATGTTAGCTGTATATGGATTGAAGTAATTCAATCACTTTTACAACTCTAGAAATTTTTACTCACGAATATCTTTTATCCTATATTTTAGGATAGATGATTAAATTGGAAAATGAGAAACCAAAGATTGTATGGTATTTTAGGATATGTTTGGTAAGCTAGCTGAAAACTTAAAATTTAGCTCAAATTTGATAAAATAATTTTAGTTGTTGAATTAATTAATAAATTTAAAATGACATGAAAGGACATGTTTAATTACATGAAATTTGGTAACTATATATATATATATATATATATATTTCCATTTAATTATCACTTTTTATATTTTATTTTAAATATTTTTATTAAGCAACATGAAATGATATACATGGATTTATAATTTTGATAATCTTATAATATGAAAAATGGAAAAGAATTTGATAGAGAAAGTGTGCATCTAAAGGTTTTAGAAATTAAAGAGTAAGGAAAGAATCAAGGTTGTCAAAATTGAGTTTCAAGGTTAGGATGCAGGTGCTGGATTGTGGGATCAGTGCATTGCAATATGAACTAAAAGACTCAACTAAAATGTAGAATTATATTTAAGCACACATATGTGTAGGCTATATAAAATATGTATGACAAGATAACTGTAAGTGTGAGAACTTCTGGAAGTGTATATAAAAATTTCTTTATAGGAATAAGTTTACATTAAGGCTCAACTTTTAGTATTTACTTGTTTAACTTAGTTTTAAATGTGTTTTGTGGATGTTATAGACTCAATTTGGATAAACTTTTAGCATTTACTTGTTTGTCTCTAAATGCATACTTTTTGTGGATGATATCGATTCAATTTGGATAAACTTCTCAATAAGTACTTATAGGAATAAAAAATTAAGTGGAAAAACGAATCAAATTCTTTGCATAAGTTAAAATCAATTTATAGTTCTCTATGTTTTAAAAAAAAATTCATTTAATTTCTCTAAAACTTGAAGAAATAAGTTATTTTTAATTTATGAGAGAAGTTTTATTCATTTTCATATTGTTTTTCTTCTCTTGTGAGGACTTATCTACAAACTCACCCAAACTAACTCACAGTGCTAGTTGATTAATCAAAAGAAGAAGTTGACTTTGAATTTTGCAATTAAAGGACTTTTACTTAAGTAGAAGTAAAACAAAGTGTATGCATTGTAATTTTAGAAAGAAACAAATGGTGATTATGCATTGGAAGCCAAAATTGGAGATAACATAATTCCACAAGTTTTCATGTTTTAAGTGTTTGGATTCAATCCTACATAATAATCAATGTTATCAATGGCAGATGGCGGGTCATGGCGGAAAACAAAAAAACTGCCATAAAATTATGGCGGATGCCATGGCGGGTTATGGCGGAATAATGGCGGTCATATATATTGCAAAATGTGATATAAAATTAGAAAACTAACTACATATAAAAAGAAGGTTTTGAGAAAAAAAGAATAAAATGGTTGTACAATAGTGAAAAAAAAACTGAAGTTATAAAAGGAAAGTAGAGAATTAAAATAAATATGGAGAAGGAAACTCGGAAGTGAAAACAGAAAAATAGAATCAAGAAAACAAAATAATAAGGAAAAACGAAAAAAATGGGAGAGTAAAACAGAATGGGAGAAGGAAAAACAGAACTGAAAAAAAAAAAAAAAATAGGAGAGGGAAAAACTAAGAAAGAGGGAATAATAAGCTGAAGTTATAACAGAAAAGTAGAGAATTAAAATAAATATGGAGAAGGAAACTTGGAAGTGAAAACAGAAAAATAGAATCAAGAAAACAAAATAATAAGGAAAAACAAAAAAAATGGGAGAGTAAAACAGAGTGGGAGAGGGAAAAACAGAACTGAAAAAAAAAACAGGAGAGGAAAAAACTAAGAAAGAGGGGCAGAGTCCAGAGACACAAAATAGAAAATGGACTTCGGAAAATAGGGCCTTCCATTCACAGTTTCCGGAAAACAGCCGGAAAGGATGTCTTCTCCGGCGAAAATGGTGAAGGAGAAAATGGCTTTAGAGAAGAAGGAAGAAAAACAGTGTAGAGAACCCTAAATATTTTACCCTTCAGAAAATTGACCGCTTGAGAAGAGAAGGTAAACCCTAAAAATTTTAAGTGGAAAGAGTCTATTTTGCCCTTAAAAAACCCTAAAATACATAAAACAAGGACAAGATTGGAATTTCGCTATCTATTTTGCCCTTAAAAAACCCTAAAATACATAAAACAAGGGCAAGATTGGAATTTCGCTCTCTTTCTCTATTACACTTCAACACGCACACCAAGACACTACAACTAGGGCTTAACCCCTGCGAAGAAATACTTCACAGCAGCAGCAGGTGGCGGACCGCCACTCCACAGCGGCACAACAGCCAACCGACGCTCCATTGCGGCACAACAGCAATGAAGAAAGGAAGAAAATATGTGATTTAGGGTTTGGGCTCACGGATTATCTTTTCGGAGCAGGTCCAATCAATGGCCCAACTTAATTTTTCCCACAAAAACGCCATTTTTTTACATTTTCCGCCATGGCTGCCGTTACGGCCATGCGCGTAACGGCCGCCATTGAAAAAGGCCAGAAAACGGTAACGCTGTAACGGCGGGGTCAAAAACCGCCACTGAATTCCACCATGGCGCCGCCATGGCCGCCATTTAACAACACTGATAATAATGGAGAAATTGATGAAAATATTAGCTATATAATACAAGTTGTGTGGTTAAAGTGGAATAATATATTGAGAGTTATTTGTGATTGTAAACTACTTGTCTAGTTAAAAGAAAAATTTTATCATACTTTTAGCCATAGTAGTCAATTTTGGATAGGGGTGCAGAGTGACCGACCAAAAATGCTATATTGGGATAGCGGATAGCGGGATGACTACTATTTTGAAGACAATAATAAAGAAAGAAAATATATCAAAGAGTGGTTAGTCACCGGAAAAAGCTCTAATGCAAATGGTTTTTCTGGAAAATGTCTCACTATTATTAGAAAACATGTACATCTCATCGGGAATAGCTTGAGTTTCACTGGAAATGAAGAAGACGATTAGAAAACGTCTCTGCTAGTGTTGGAAATAAGTTGGGTTTTGTTGGAGATGAAGAAGATGACTAAAACTTGGCCAAAAATGGTGACTTGCGCTAAAGAGTGACGCCGATGATCAAGGACGAAATTAAGAGAATGAGATGGAGGTAGGGTTTGATCTTGACTTTTAAAGACAGAGCATCGTGATATAAGAGGGGCAAAATTCAAATATTGCCCCTGTTAAAAAGCATTTCAACTTTTAGAAAGGGAGGGAAAACTTGCACTTTTTCCTGTTTGACATAGTGGTCGTGATGACTGCAATGCAATGGCCCCAGAATTGCGATATGGAGCCGCTCCGCTCTTCTACGATCGTGCCCACTATTAACTACCATGCTTTTAGCTGTATGACTAATTGTCCTATGTGGTACTTAATGTTAGGCTTTAAAGGGACAACATGAAGAAAGTGAGAGTTATAGAAATGAGAATTCTAATATGGATGAGTAGTCATACAAGAAATGATAGGATAAGAAACAATTATATACAAGAAAATATTGGAGAGACTTATTGTGTAAAAAAAAGACCAAAAATTGACTAAGGTGATTTGAACATGTGCAAAGACAGCTATTAGAAGTACTAGTGAAAAGAGGGGATGATGTGACTTTCAGTTCGATGAAAATGAGCATAGGAAGCCTCAAAATAACATTGGAGAAAATTATCAAAAGGGATCTTATAGTTAATAGTATCTTAGAGCATTTGATTTTTGAATGAGATCAATGATGTTGTAGTCGACTTCACTTAATAGGATAAGGTTTAGTTGTTGTATATGCATAAAAATAGCGGTGATTAAAAAAAAAAAAAATTCTTAAACTGCAACAAATTTACTAAGGCTTAAACTAACAATTTCATGATCTTATACAACTCAAGAGTCATGAGTCACATAAGTCTTTGACAACATAACTGAGCACACAGCAATAAAACAGAACACGCAGCAGCATACAAATCTGACAAGCACACAGCAACAAAGATGGAGAAGAAAAGGAATCAGCAATGGTCAACTTGAGACTTGAGAGACGGAAAAGAATGCAGGCCATGGCAACCAAGAGAAGGGGAACCAGAGGCAAAGAGAATCCACGGGTGAGGGGAAGAGAGGCACAGATAGTCAAATGGTGCTTTTATATTGGGTTGTGTAGATTAGGGTTCTCAAATATGAAAAATTCTTATTTTTAAAGGAATGAGTGGTATGATCCAACCAGTGTAAAAATCTAACCCAATGATTCCTTGATCTGGAGTGACAATTCAGACTGCTGCGTGCAGATTTGTGTGTCACATTGCTGTGCGACTCACTGGAGAGGAAGAAACACGTTGAATCATGAGCTCTAACATGTTAACAACCTTGGGAGGAATTGTAAAATAATATAGGTATGATACAAATGGAAAAAGAAAATAAGCTATGAGCTTATGAGCTCAAATGCTACATACAATGGTGTTTTTAGAAAACTCTACAAGCTATTTACTCTTGTTGCATCTTCTATTATGAGTCTTTATATATGTGAATGTTTTACTCATACATGTAAGAGATCAGTATCATTTGGAAATTCTATCTAAATTATTCTCTTCTCCATTTCTAGCTCCACTCTCTTCCTTTGCCCTTAAATTTAATAGTTCAAACTTTCTACCATAGCATGTGATGTATAACGTTCGTTGATAACTTATATTTTGTTTATATCTGGCATGTTTGAAGATAAATTGACAAGATCAATGTGTGGGCATGCCATATTTTTTGGACAGCAGTCTTAATGGAAAGAATTCCTAACTATAACCATAAGTAATTTTAAGAATTTATTGTTTAATTACAATTGTTACATTTTGTTGAGTTTTGTTTAAAATATGGTGCAAAATAAGGAGGAAAAAAGAAAAATAAAAGCACATTTGTGTCAAATGTGCAAAAATATCTGGAAAAATAGTTTTCTTTTCCTTCTTGTCAACTGTTTTCAGCTGATTGGCAGCTGGATGATTGATATTGATGTATGCCATTGTAACTCCCAGAATGTATCCCTAGTGCTGCCATTAACTAAACAAAAGAATGGATTTACTGCAGCACAAAAGGGAATATAATGAGAAAGAGGGAAGTTGAAGTTATTGTCAGTCCATAATCTAGATGCTCTAATGATATTTTGGACCAAAAAAACTGAGATTTTCTTTTGCTCTATTATTACATCTAGCTATCAAACACCATGATCAATATTATGCCTTGTTCAAGCAGATGGTTTGACTGGGAACAAAACAAGAGTTCTGCAATTCATAAGTGGGGTTTGAAATTGTCAGAGAAAGTGCTCACCCAGTTTGAGGATGTTGGACAGCAATTAGCATTGGCATTCAACAATGATGGTACTGCACTAGCTGCTGGTGGGGAGGTATACATTTCCTTTATACTTACATCAGGGTAAAGAAACCATTTTAAAACGCTGATGATAAATTTTAGTAACATGAAAGAAAAGAGATGGTTTATGGAAAATATCTTCACTCATTAATTATTACTGCTTTTCATTTCCAATATGGAATGCTTACAAAAAGATTAAGAAGAACTTGATGTGAGTAGATGGAATGAAAAAGTCAATTGAACATATTACTTAATAGAAGGAGAATTATTTGGGTACTACCTTAGACATTAAAAGTTACTTTGTGTTGTATATTACTAAAGATGATAATAGATCACATGGAAAATCCAGTTGAGTGAGTTGTTTTGTCATAGATGTAACCACTTATTATTCATAGTACAAATTTTATTTCCTTGCATCTGTTAACTTAAACCTGAAAACAATTTTGTCAAGAGATTTATGTTTGTTGAAGATCCAACATAAAGGGATAGCAAACATCAAATTAAGTTGCTACATGTGGTTTCTACTTTCAACAGGTTTCAAGAACTCAAAATGTAACCATTGCTATGGCTGCTCCATTTTCTTCAACATTATTGCATGATGTAATATATGTGTTTTTGTGTTTTTTACTTTTTCCAACAGTGATATTGTATAATGAGGAATTTCTGTTATCTTGAACAGTAGTTGCATACAATGCTTTAAATTATCTTCAACAAAGGATCATAAGCTTTCATTCTTTTATAAAGCAAGCATTAAATTATTGAGGAGCTTATTTTCAATGAAGGAGTGGCACGCTGTATGATATTGTAATTTTGGTGCAGTACAGGATGGCAGTCTAAGAGTTTTCAAGTGGCCTAGCATGGAAATTATTCTCAATGAGTCTAATGCTCATTCTTCTGTGAAGGACTTACATTTCAGGTTTGACATGCATAGCAGCATGGGCATTTCCTAGATATTTTACTCTTTGGCTATATTTATGAAGGATTGTGCCTTATAATCTGGTTTTGTTTGTCTTGCAGTTCTGATGGTAAATTGCTTGTCTCTTTGGGAAGCAGTGGCCCCTGCAGGGTTTGGGATGTTTCTTCATCAATAGTCTTAGCTACTCTATCAAATGAAAATGTGAGCAATTGATTAAAATGGAGAATCTTCAAACTTTGAAATGCCTTGAAAACTTTGTAGGCATTGTTTGAAACTTTCTCTTCCTTAATTGTACTCAATACTGACATTTGGTTATGTCATGAATTGTACTCAATACTGACATATACAGTGATTAAATAAAAATGTCCAAACCAAGTAATTAAGTCGTACAGTTTACATATAGTTCTATTTAAAGTTCTACCACTATTTTTTTACTTAAAACCTTTTAAGCCTTATTTTCTACTTGTGATTAGAGGCTTAGGTTGGATTTAAGATAGAAAAAGATTAAAGTTTCACAAAATAAAAGAAATTGATGAAATTTGAAAGATTTTGTGGGGTGAGGTTGATATTTAGAAAAGGGAAAGTATAGGATTTTTTGAATTTAAGGAAAATATCATGTTTTGATTGGTCGAATTTGAGCAGAAGAGGGTTTGAAATGGTTTAATAGGTACAGTTCATGGGGATTTTTGAGGCGGAAAATTAGAATTTAGAAGTTTTAGGTAGAGAGAAACTGATTGAAGAACTAGATTGAACAATAAAAGAATTAAAGAAGGACTTGGTTGTGACAATTAAAAAACACAGGCATTGAATTCGAGCGAAAAATTATTGAGTGACTAATTAGAGGAATCAAAAAGTGCCAACATGTATTATCAAGCAAATCTAAGACTATACAGCCTTGACGGATCTTGGGAACATGTGGTGGCTCAATATATTATTCAAATGTTGTCTGATTTGGTGGTGATTGCACTTGAGACAGAAAAATAATTAGGGTAAAAAACTGTATATACTTTCTTGTGATTCAGAGGTTCTTATAAGAGAAATCTGTACAAAACTAGATCCCTTGATTATAGGGATTGACTAGGTAATTACAGCAGAATCCTAATTACATTATTTACATAATCAATTAGATTTCTATATAAAAGGAAAGAAGGTAAATATGGAAATACAAATATTCTCAACACTCCCCCTCAAGCGGGTGCATATATATCATATGCATCAAGCTTGTTACAAATGTATGTTATCCTTGGACCTCGAAGTGCCTTGGTAAGCATGTCAGCTAAGTGATCATTAGAGTTCACAAACGACGTAACAATCTCACCAGAAAGAACCTTTTGACGAATGAAATGGCAGTCAATCTCTATATGCTTGGTCCGTTCATGAAAGACAGGGTTAGAGGCAATATGTAAGGCTGCCTGGTTATCACAAATAAGTCTCATAGGTCCTACCTCACAAAACTTTAACTCAGCAATAAGCTGTTTTAGCCATACAAGTTCACATGAGGTATTGGCCATTGCTCGATATTCAGCTTCAGCACTTGATCTAGCAACAACATTCTGCTTTTTACTCTTCCAAGCAATTAGGTTGCCTCCAATCAATACACAATATCCTGAAGTTGATCGTCTATCACTTGGGCAGCCAGCCCAATCCGCATCTGTGTATGCAACAATATCAGTATGGTCTCTGTTTTCATAGACTAATCCTTTTCCAGGAGAACCTTTGATGTATCTCAGGATTCGAATCACTGCATCCCAATGACTATCACGAGGGGAGTTAAGAAATTGGCTTATAACACTGACCGGAAAAGATATGTCTGGCCTAGTCATAGTAAGATAATTCAATTTTCCAACTAGTCTTCGGTATTGATTTGGATCTGAATACAACTCTCCCTGATCCGGCATAAGTTTGACATTTGGATCCATAGGGGTATCAACTGGCTTACAATCCAACATTCCTGTTTCTTTCAAAATATCAAGAGCATATTTTCTTTGAGATATGGCGACACCAGTTTTTGATTGAGCTACTTCAATCCCAAGGAAATATCGCAATCGACCCAAGTCCTTAGTTTGAAAATGTTGAAACAAATGCTGCTTGAGTCGGATGATACCATCGTGATCATTGCCTGTGATAACAATATCATCTACATAGACAACAAGATAAATGCACTGGTTAGTAGAAGAATGTTTATAAAACACAGAATGGTCTGCCTCACTACGAGTCATCCCAAACTGTTGGAGAACTGTACTAAATCTCCCAAACCATGCTCGAGGACTTTGTTTAAGGCCATATAGAGCCTTACGTAACTTGCAAACAAATCCTTGGGACTCCCCCTGAGCAACAAAACCGGGAGGTTGCTCCATATAAATCTCTTCTGCTAGATCACCATGAAGAAATGCATTTTTGATATCGAGTTGGTAGAGGGGCCAGCAACGTGTGGCAGCTATGGATAAGAAGAGGCGAACTGAAGTCATTTTTGCAACAGGTGAGAAGGTGTCGCCATAATCAAGGCCAAAAGTTTGTGTATAGCCTTTAGCGACTAATCGGGCTTTAAGCCGATCAATTTGTCCATCTGGACCCACCTTAATGGCAAACACCCAACGACAACCGACAGTAGATTTCCCAAGAGGAGATGGAACAAGTGTCCAAGTCTGGTTAGATTCTAAGGCCTGCATCTCATCAATCATAGCCTGTCGCCACCCTGGATGGGAAAGTGCTTCCTGGACTGTTTTAGGAATAGTAACAGAGGAAATAGCAGACACGAAGGCACAATGGGAAGAGGATAAACGATGATAACTCAAGAAATTATAAATGGGATGAGGATTTCGAGTTGAACGTGTACCTTTGCGAAGGGCTACTGGCAAATCAGCAGGTGTGTCAGATGGATCCGGAGTAGGTAGAGCAACTGGCGTAGGAGATGGGCTGCCTGAATCTTCCAAAACTACGTCTTCTAGCGAAACAGGACGAGGTCTACGCTGGTATGTAGCCAGGGGACGAGGAATAGTAGGTGAAGAGGGATTAGGAGGTTCTAGCACATCAGAGATTGAGGGATTAGTGACAAGGGGAATATAGTAAGGAATGGGAAGAACTTGAGAAACTGAGTTTGAAGAGACTGATGTGGTGAAATATGGTGTGTCTTCAAAGAATGTGACATCGGCTGACATATAGAAGCGATGATTGGATGGGGAATAACACTTGTATCCTTTCTGCACCCGAGAGTAACCCAAAAAGAGACATTTAACAGCACGAGCAGATAATTTGTCAAGTCCTGGAGTGAGATCATGGACAAAACAAGTGGAACCAAAAACATGTGGGGGAACCTTAAACAGAGAGTCATTAGGGAATAAAAGTGAATGAGGTACTTTGTTATTTAAAGCAGAGGATGGCATCCTATTTATTAAAAAGGTTGCTGTAAGGACAGCATCACCCCAAAATTTTAAAGGTACATTAGCATGTAACAAAAGAGTTCGAGCAGTTTCAATAATATGACGATGTTTTCTTTCTGCAATGCCATTTTGTTGTGGGGTGTGTGGACAAGTGGATTGATGCAACATGCCATGAGAAGTCATAAAATGATTAAAAGGTGCAGAAAAATATTCTTTGGCATTGTCACTGCGCAAGATTCGAATAGAACGACCAAACTGTGTTTGAATTTCATTGCAAAAATTCTGAAAAATTATAAATAATTCTGAACGTTCTTTCATTAAGAAAATCCAAGTACATCTTGAGTAGTCATCAATAAAAATAACAAAGTACCTATGTCCTAAGATAGAATTAACACGACTCGGACCCCACACATCTGAATGGACAAGATCAAATGGAGATTTTGCTTGACCATGGACAGCACTTGGAAAGGAGGCTCGAATGTGTTTACCTAATTGGCATGACTCACACTCCATAGACTGTAAATGAGAGAGGTGAGGAACCATGTGCTTCAATTTATTTAGACCTGGATGACCTAGGCGACGATGCAAGAGAAGGGGGGAATCTGCAACAGTGCAGACAACTGAGGTAGTGGGCTGGAAATAATAAAGACCATGCGATTCAAATCCTACTCCAATCGTCTGTCCCGTACTCCGGTCCTGTAGAGAGAAAGATTCAGCAGTAAATGTTATGGAACAGTTATGAGTGCGAGTAAGTTGACTTACTGAGACTAAATTAAAGGGGCAACTAGGTACAAGAACAGAATTCAAGGATAAATTAGGAAGAGGGGTAGTTCGTCCAATGCCAATGGCATTAGCTTTTGAGCCATCAGCAAGGGTGATGTGGTGTGCTGTTTTAGGTTGTGACAGTTTTGAGAAAAGAGAAGGATTACCAGCTATGTGGTCAGAAGCACCAGAATCTAATATCCAGGATCCAACAGACGATGAATGAGAGAAGCAAATTGTAGAGTTACCAGATTGAGTAGTGGCAGAGGAAGATTGTTGTGATGCTATCTTCAGCTGGAGGTACTCCTTGTACTCCATATCTGACAGAATATTTTGGTTGTCTCCTTCATGGTCAATTTGCTTTTTTACAGCGGAAGGCTGAGAATACGTCACATTGGCTGATTTCTCGGGAAACCCAATCAAAGAATAACACTTATCTTGAGTGTGGCCCATACGTTTACAATAGGAGCACTGTGGACGATTTCCAAAACTGCGACCTCCTCTTCCACCACCTCGACCACGACTTCGACCTCCACGGCTGATCACATTAGAGAAGAATGCAGAAGACTCCAAACCTGGTTGGGAACCATTTCCTATCATAGTTTCCGGAGAGGGAACACGCAGCAGACGATCAATGAGATTCTCTGCTGTAGGTACATTGGAATTTGTCAAAATTTGGTTCCGAACAGATTCAAAATCTTTGTGAAGGCCATGAAGGATGAAGACCATGCACATGTTATCAATCTTGTCTAAGACTTTTTGAAGGTCATCACCTGTCAAGACCAATTTTACTTCATCAATGGTGGACTGTGCTCTGTTCAAATATGATGGGAGATCGTGATCTGTCATTTTAAGTGCAGCTAAATTATGTACAATATCATAGAGACGCTGAACATCATTTGAATAGACACTACGAGCTTTCTTCCATATATCGTAACATGTCTTATAAGTGCGAAAGTGGACTAACAACTTCGGATCAATGGACTGCCATAGAAGTGAAACTAACTGATAATCAGCCTTCTTCCACTGATCTCGTTCAGTGGAATTAATGTCACTTGCCGTTTTAGTCAAATGGTCAGAGAGACCTTGACCCAAAAACCATATTTCCACCGCAGCTTGCCAATCCATATAATTTTTCCCATTAAGTTTTTCTGAAGTTATGGATGGATTTCCAGAGAAGACAAAGGATACTGGATTTTTGTTTAAGGGTTCAGTGCTGTCAGGGGTAGAGGACTTAGTTGGGTCAGAATCCATGACTAAGCTTGGTGAGAGTCGGAGGAGACTAAACACAGCTCACCAACAGGGAAAAGGACACCCAGAACAGACAGAGGGTGTGCCGACGAGCTGAACAGGACCAGCGGCGAGACGAATGGAGTCGCGTAGGGCGGCGCGTGGCCTTCACGCGCCGACGGTCTAGTTTTCTGGTAAGTGCGCGTGGCGGCGCGTGGAACACCGGGAGACGACGGCGATCGGTGGGACAGCCGATCGGAAGCTTCTCGAGCTAGTGCCGAAGTCTCAGGCCAAACGGTGGCCGGACGAAGGGACAACTAGGGTCGGCAGTACTGTGCAGTACTGTAGATGATTTTATCAGGCCCACAGAAAGTGAGCTCTGATACCAACTTGAGACAGAAAAATAATTAGGGTAAAAAACTGTATATACTTTCTTGTGATTCAGAGGTTCTTATAAGAGAAATCTGTACAAAACTAGATCCCTTGATTATAGGGATTGACTAGGTAATTACAGCAGAATCCTAATTACATTATTTACATAATCAATTAGATTTCTATATAAAAGGAAAGAAGGTAAATATGGAAATACAAATATTCTCAACAATTGCCATGTCTTAATTGTTTATACTAATCATATTGTTTTGAATTTCATATAGGGTGAAGTTTTCACCTCCTGCAGATTTTCTAAAATAAAGGATGGGACTCAGGTCCTATCTATTGCTGCCATGAAAGGTAAATAATCTGCTGAAACAAATGATCTCCTTTCTGCATCCTTGTTTAACTGTCACAAGCTTTTTCTGTTGTATATAGATAAAGATGGAATCATCCTGACCTGGAATACACAAACATGGGAAAGGATAGGCTCAAAGTATATTATTCGAGATGCAATATCTGCATTGAATGTCTCAGCTGATGGAAAGTTTCTTGCATGGTACATATTCTAATCGATACATTTCTAGTACTTAAGATGGCACCCTCATCTTTTCTTAAGCTACCTGGAAGTAAGCGGTGACTAAATGTTTGTGCATTACCTTCAGACTTCAAGGGTGCACTTTCACAAGAACTTATTTCTTCTGTTTTGGTGGGTTGACATGCAGTGGAACACCTTCAGGAGACATTATAGTTGTAAATTCAACAAACATGCAGATTCATACAATGATCAAAAGGGCTCACCTTGGTATTGTAACTGCTTTAGCATTCTCCCCTGATTCAAGGTTTGAACTCAACGTTTATATTTTTTCCTGCTACTAGAAATTTGCTGTCTTATGCCATTTTTAAAGGTAGTTTGTCATAGTTGGGGCTTCTGTATTTAGGGCCTTGGCTTCAGTATCCATGGATTCAAGTGCGAGGGTGACAATAATTGAAGAGAAGAAAAATGGTACGTCTATATTTCATGGTTTGTTGACATATTAACTCTATAACACATGTTCTTTCTTGGTGTACAGATCCATAATTATTTTGCTAAACTCAAATATTTAGTGGTCCTTTTCAAGGTTGTAAAACTCGAGAGTTTACGTAAACTTGTGGAGTGTCCTATAAAAATAATATTTAAAAACTCAAATAAAGTTCAATAATAAATTTGAAACATCTAGAAATTGCCAAATCATTTATGATAATGTGATTTTGGTGCCATAATTATAAATGTGATGTTTCACAACTTGCGGAGATGGAAGAAAAGTGGTGCTGTTATTCCAAATGGTGTTATTTTGGTGAAAAAAGGTCATACTTAAATAGCCAAACTATATAATGATAATGTGGTTTTGGTGCCATAATTATAAATGTGATGTTTCACAACTTGCAGAGAGGGAAGAAAAGTGGTGCTCTCATTCCAAATGGTGTTATTTTGATGAAAAAAAAAAGATTTTGCCTTTGTTTTGTTAAACTTGTAAAATCCGGTGTAAACTCACGAGTTTACCCGCGTTCCCCCAAGTTTACTTGAGTTTTTCCAAAAATGAGTTTACATGCAATTTGACACGGTTTCCTTATTTAAGATCGATGAGTTAAATCAAGAGTTTAACAACCATGGTCCTATTAGCCTACCAATCAGTCCTCTGATTTAATTAACCTGGGACACTAGGGGCCAAAATTTTGTTGAAATGATAACATCTAGAAACAGTTAGAAAGTTGAGCACTGACATTGTCTGATGAATCTCTGGTTCTTGAAAATAATAATTATATTTGTGCCTATGTTGAATACTGTATTGTGAATAGCACTCTGTATTGGTATTTACTAGCACGCATTTAAAGCCTGCCAGTTTTGTATGTGGCCAGCCTTAAAACTTTTCAGTTGCTGCTATATATGTATTTGGGCCACTTTTCTGTTAACCTAAACTTCTGGAGAAATAACCCAACATAATATTATTGTATAGCAGTTGGAATATTCATCTGTGCAAGTTCCATAAGCTCCTTGCCATGTCTCAATCGTGTGTATTCTGACAGTTCTATTCAAATAGATCTACTATAAAAGATATAGGATATCAAAAGCTTAAAAGCTGGATTTGGGCAAAGGTCAAAGGTAGCAACATCCAAACTTAACCCCCCTCCCCAAGAAAAAATAAATAAATAAAACGATATGCAACCGATGAATAGATAATTCGTAGTTCAAGAAGATATATAATTTGCCAGATGGATATTGCATCGATCATGTATCAAATAGAGTGTCGCACACTCGGCGCATGACTCACCTTTTTTTTCCCCTCATGTTTTAAGGAGCGCTGAGCTTGTGGATTGCCGTATTTATCATCCTACTTGCAGTAGCTGCTTACTTCTTGAAGCAAGGAATTGAAAAGTGAAGGTTCCATTATTACTTTATTTAAATATAAAACTTTTACTACCTAGAAGTCTTTATGAATGCTAATGTTTAGTTTTGATGCATTTTCATTTTTTGGAGGGTTTACAGATACTTCTTTTTGTTGGCATCATTCTGAACAGTTGTTTTTGGACACGACCCTCTGTCTCTATAATGCCTTGTAACATGGATTGGATCGTTTCTTTACATGCTCTGTACAATGCTTTCATCTTGAATTAAGCTATCGTTCACTCTTTGCTTCCTATTTGCTCGGTATGGTCTTATTTGTCATATTGCGTTGTGTTAGGAATACCCCAAGGACATATGAGTAATTAATAGGTCATTAAGTAACAAATGGACTATTGTTCCCAGTGCAATTACTGAACTATGACAGTTTTTATTATAGAAGTTAACAAGAATAACCATGTATTTGAATAAGAAAGTAAAATTATAAAAATAGTAAATACATAAAAGAACAATGCCTCAACCAATAATTTAGACCGTTAGGATTAAGTTTTCACTACAACCACTAATTATTATGAAAGCCGATTTTTTTTTTTTATAAATATTTACTAATTTAGACCTTCCTTGTCCACAACCAATTAATGAAATCACAAAATCTTTTAAGTTTGGAAATGAAAGGGGGAATAAGGAATTGATTGACTAATTAAGTTTTTAATAGGATTGAGATTTAAATTCATGTTAGACAAGTAGAGGTACACTTTGGTCTTTTATGCAGGAACAAAGATAAAATTTAGAATTGTGAAAATTATAAAAGGATACAACTTACGTGTTATACTATGGAAAGTCTTAGAAAAGAAAGTTATTTATGTAATATATATTTAGACTATACAAAATATGTATGAAAAATTCCTAAAGACATATATAAAGACTTCCCTCTAGTGATAAGTTTAATAATTGCTTTGTTGAGTCCTTACTTATTAACTTCATCTTTGATGTGTTAACAAGTGACATACAAAATAATCATTTTTAAGTGTATGCTCTTTGTGAAGGACAATCCTAGTTGTGAAATCTAAAGATATTAATTCTAAACTTGAGTTTTGAAGGAATACTTTGAAATCTAAAATTTTTTGCATAAGTTAAAGTAAAGAAGAATATTTTAGCAAGAATCAAAATGGTGATTATGAGGTAAAAGTTAAAATTAAAGATGACACAATATTATAAGTTTTCAAATTCAAGTACTTGAGATCAATTCCATAGCTTGATAGAAAAATTAATAAAAATGTTATTCATAAAATACAAGTTGGGTGGTCAAAGTAAAAAAAAATATTAAAAGTTATTTGTGATTGTAAAATACCTATCAAGTTGAAAAGAAAACTTTATTATACTATATAAACATATGAATCTTGTACTTTAAAGAAATATTACAAGAAAAGGTAGGAACTGAAAAAATAAAATATTAAAATGAATGAGTAGTCATAAAAGAAAGAGAATATGAAATGATTGTATACACGATAATATTGAAGTAATATTTATTGTGAAAAAAAAATGACAAATTTGATTAAGCTGGTTTGCATGTAAATAAAGCCACTAAAAGCACTAATGTAGAGAGAAGAGTAGATAACATGATTTATAGTATGATAAAAAAAGAATAGATTGAGACCACTAAAAACTTTTAAAAAATTATTAAAAAATAATGATAAATAATATTTTAAATAATTTAATTTTTAATTGAATTCAATAACATATGATTCATGTTGCCAACTTTATCTAGTGCGATAAAACTTGATGTTATATATTATTATGTTACCAAGGATAAATTATTTTGTTGTTTTCTTCTTAAGTTCAAAAAATATATTAAAATGATGGTGACAACTAATATTAGTTTATTATGATTAATAAATAATTTAACAAAATGACTTGTTATAGAAAGTTTTAAAATTATAGTATTTATAATTTAATCTTTAATAAGTTTTGTAGGTTAAGGATTTTTAAATATTAAAAATTTAAAATAGGTAAATTTCTTTTTTCATTTATATAAAACTCATTCTTATTCTCTTAAACTTACTCTCTTTTCATCTTTATTTTTAAAGTTAGTTTAAATATTTCCATTATGTTTCTAACAACTAGTTCAATAGATATAATAATTGTAGTTAAAATTTAAACGATAAAAGTTTTAAAAAAATAACCAAGACAAGAGATTAAATAAAATTACGTCGCTTAAAATAGTATTGTAAAAGCTTTATTTATTTATTCTTTATTTTACTTTATTTTCTCCTTTCAAACAGTATGCAAACCTATTTTTCAAATCTAACAATCTAAATAATCATCTATTTTTGTATTTTTATACTTTGAATTGTGATCTTTATAAATGAAATATATTCATCCCAATTTTCTTAGAAACGAATAACTTGACTAAGAATGAAAATAAGCTAAGCCAGGTCAGGCTTTATTCTAAACAGGTTTGGCCTATAACATAATTATTAGGCTTGAGTCTGACTTATTACTTATTAAAGACTTTATTTTCAGCTTAGCCTAACTTATTTAAGTGGCCTGACCTGAAGCCTATTAACAAAGTTTGTTAAAAAAAATATATTTTAATATTAATAAAAATATAAATATTTTATTATCAAATTAGTTTACATATTTTTCTAACTTTTATCTATGTTATTAATAATTATTAAATAATTATAATAATATTTATATAATTTTATAAATAATTTTTAAAATATTATTTAAGCATCAATTATAAATATTTTATATTTATGTTTTTCTTAATTTATTTTTTAAAAATTTTAAATATTAAAGATTTTAGTTTTATTTTTCATCAAATAAAGTTATAATGAACACATAAAATTAATCACAAAAAATAAAATTTACACAATTTTTGAATTAATTAAAAAAATTTATTATGTTTTAAAAAAAACAAATTTAAACTAAATACAATATATATATATATATATATAATGACAATAATAATAACTATTAAATTAAAAAAATAATTACAAAATATTTAATTTTATTTGTTTCATTAATTTTTTATTTTAAATTAACAAATAAAAATAAAATTAACTACACTATAACATCAATGTAATATAAAAAATATTACTAATATAATAAATTAAAATACATATTTATATATTACATGTAAATTGATAAATTAACTAATAATTTAATTAAAACATGTGCAAGTTAAAAAAATATATATTATTATATAATTTATTTATAATTATATTATTTACTATATTGTTTGATTATATATATATATATATATATTAATATATATTATAATAAATTTTTTATTTATTTTTTTATCTTTTTTTTATAAATTTTTACTTTCAAATAAAATATAATTTATATTTAAGCAACTTTTATTTATTATAAATAAAAAATTATAACATAATATATTAATATAATAATTAAATATTAATAATAATAAAATTAAAATATAAAAATTATATTAATAGAATATCAATATTTATTTTTAAATTTTAATTCGTTTAGTTTTAACTATGTCTTGTTTCTGCTCAAAGACTTAAACGTTCTCTAACTTATTTAAATATAATAAATGTAATAATTTATGATTAAATAAATTTATTTTTTAAACATGTGAAATCGTATATAAATATTTTTGTTTTGAATATAATATAAAATAATTATTTAAAATTTGATATATTTATATTTAGGTGTGTGGTTATGTACTAAATCTGGTATCTAAATTTTTTTTATAGGTACTTTAGTAAAAAGAAATTATACCAATAAAGGTAAAACACATAGTAAGTTATAAAAAGTATATATTATTATACATAATTTATTTAAAATTATATTATTTATTATATGGTCCTATTATATATATATATATATTGTATATTATTTTTTTTATTATTATTTTTTTATAAATTTTTTTTGAATAAAATAAAATTCATATTTAAATAATTTTTATTTATTATAAAGAAAAAATTAAACATAATATGTTAATATATTAATTAAATAATTAAATTAATAATAATAAAATTAAGAGTATAAAAAATATATTAATATAATTTTAGTATTTTATTTTTAAATTTTATTTCATTTAATTTGGATTGTGTCTTATTCTTTTTTAAATAATTAACTATACTTTAACTTGTTTAAATATAACAAATATGATAATTTATTATTAAATAAATTTATTATTTAAAAAGTATAATCGTATATAAATATTTTTAATTTTTAATAGAATATAATTTTTGTTTATTATAATTATAAATTTATCATAATATATTAATTTAATAATAACAGAATTAAAAATATAAAAAATATTATTAAATAACTTTATTATTTAAATATATTTTGACAGTTCTATTTTTAAATTATATATATATAAGCCGACTTGTCAGACTTAATAAGTTTTATAAATAGTTTAGGGCTGACTTGTTTACTTAAACAGACCTTAAAAAAAAAAAGCATAAACCTTATTTATTTATTAAAAAGGTTAGGCCTAAACCAGGTCAGGCTGCAGGTTCCTGTCAAGCGATCTGACTGTTTCCATCTCTAAACTTGACTAAATGATAATAGGAGTAATGAATAAAAGAGATGTGGTTGAATGCTAAAAAATGTAGAAAAATAATTCTATGTAACATTCGTTTAAACTAATTTTATATAGTGATGAATATACAAATTTTATTAATATTCACTTAAAATGACATTGAATAATTTATCAATACAAAAGTTGATTTTCATGATGAATTGAGATTGTGAGAGTAGGTGTAGAAGTCTTAGTCATGAAAATCATGAACTTCAAATATAAATTTTGTAGAGAATCTTAAAGATCTAAAATGACATTTATTATTGTATTAATTTAAATTTTTTTTATTATAAATTGAATCTGTATCAATGCATGTGAATGCAAACTTTCTTAAAATCACTATAGATACAAGATACAAGATTTGCTTGAAAAATATGAAAAATTAACCATTAATATAATTATATAAAGACATAAAATAATAAGTTTTGAAAGTTTCAAGAGCAATTCTACAAATTTTTTTTGAAGGATTAATTTATGAATATGTAAAAACTGATATTATTAAGTTAGAGGTCAAAGATATAAACTGCTTATATTTTAAAATATACATCTAACAGGTTTAAAAAGATTCACTCACTTATGGACCACTTAATTGCTAACTCATGTTAACTGGACCCTAAAATGATAATTTTGATGCATAACTACTACTTTAATAAAATTTTATTTAAGTTGTGTGATATCCATTTTAGGTTTAAGAATTTTACGTTCAATTTCATGATTTTTTTTTTCAGTGTTAACCTTCTCAATCCTTCACATAATGTGCCATACTTTGCAAATGTAGGACTCAACATATTGCAAGCATTAAAAAAATTCCAGAAATAATAACTTCATGCTAATAAACAGAAGTCCAACAATCATGACAAAGACTTGTACACTTACATAATATTCTATGAAGAAAATGCATCTTCCCATTAACACTAAAAAAACATTTGAAATTTAAAGAAATGAAGCAGCAAATCATAAATATATTCTATCAAAGTAAAAAACGAGATGAAGTGTTTTAAATTTTTTCAATGTACATCACTTTGAGTGATTTCATGAAAGTGTGTGTTTATTTATGAAAGTGTATTTGAACTGGAACTCCACCCGTTTGTTATTACTAGGGGTGAACGTTAACCGTAGACCCGATTAATACTCGTTCAAACTGAAATAAAATTACAAAATTAGCCATTTTGGGTTGGACTTTGGTTAACGCAACCGATTTAGTCCCTCAAATTAAATTATTACTTTTCATGTAGGTGAGCATAACTACAGCTAATAATACTACGCCTCCTTCCTCTCTCATATTTGCTTTTCTCTTAGGCACAGCCGGGCATCCTTAACTATCAACAACGTTCTTCCCTTCTCTTTCATTTTCATTTTTTTGTGTTGCACTGATGATGTTTCATCTTTCCCCAATCATGCTTCGTCTTTCCCCAACTGTATTTTATCTTTTAAATCAGTTTAAACCACCCAACTAACCCGCTGCTTGTGTCACCCACCACCCATCCAACTCTTAAGATTAGTCAAACAGAAGTGGCTCAAATTGATAAGAAATTAAATTATTTCAGTTCCATATTTTTGAACTCAAACCCACCCATACCCGACCACTGCCCAGGCTTAGTTCCTACAATTCAACTACTGCCCTTAATGTAATTTTTCATCACATCAAGCATCCTCGAAAATTGATAACAGACTCACTTTCTTTGTAACGGACACTTTTATTTTAAAAATCATTCTTCTAAAATAAAATTTATATAATTGCACAAGTCTCATTAAATTTTAATTAATGGTCAGTAACAAAAAATGTTAAAAATAAGCTATATTAACAAAACTGACGGTTTTGATTAATTGAAAGGAAAAAAGAAATCATGTTCTCAACGTTTTAGGTCAATTTTGAATTTTGATGATTAGATGGGTAAACCAACTGTTTTATTTGTTTAGAACATCAATTGTAAATCACTACGGTTTAGAGAAAATAATATTTAACCTTCGATTTTCAAGCAAAAATTGAACCTCGAAACCAGCTACAATCCGTCTCCTAAGACCAGCAAAGCCATTCGCTGATACCTATCCATTGTTTTGCTTGTGATCATTGACGTTGTTAGGTGCGTTGAGTCATAATATTTTCATTGTTTGACAAATTTTATGGTAGGGAAGTGTGCGACGGCTCCACAATCTCCAATTCATATTCTTCACCAAATTATTTACATATGGATTTTTTAACAATTAACCTTTGGAATTGATGAACCGCATCAGTTATTAATTGAACCTACCCTCAAGGGATTAGCGACTGTAGTTAGTTTATGGACTCGCCTCTTTGAAAAAATTGAGCCCGGTATAGGAAGGTACTAAACAAGAATGCCAATGCATGATCCTGAAAATAGATCATCATTGACGCCTCCTTTGATAAAGTGAATAACCAACAATGGCAGACATCAGGAATGTCCATAGAACCTGCTTACAATATCAAATAAATAGAATAAGCAAATTGATAAAAACAAGTACAGTGATTTCAGAGTCAGGTGAAAAAAAAACCAAGCACTTTGGAATAGGGTTTTGGGAGTACCGTATTTATAGCAAGCCACCTTTCAAGTCTTCTAATCCTTGATTGCATCTCCTCAACAATCCCTTCAATTGGAGAGACTAACCTGCTTGGTGAGGATTCAGAAGCCGAACTACACCCCTGTTTATTTCAACATAATTCCACTAAATGACGATGCCTAAAAAATGATATTACATGCTTCAAACATGCAAAGGGTTGTCCAGTGCCGTGTAGGCATGCATAGTGTTAGCATAACAGAGAACAGAAAGGAGTAGATCCTGAGGTGCTATTAGGTTTAGGATAAAGCATGTCAAATAGCTGTACTACCCTTTCCGATCTGACTTCACTATTACATTGGGTAACATTAACACCTGAGACTAATTTTAAACATCTAAGGATGTATTTGGTGGCCAGATAGGATAAAAAAGTTAAGATAAAAATAAAATAGGATACGAGCCTAAAAAGCTTTTATCCTATATCCAATATTTGATTTACATCAGATAAGTCAACATATAAGATAATACTATTCTATCTTGTGTTTTTGGTGATCAAAATAATTTTAGTGTATGATAAATTTTTATACAAATAACAAAATTAACCTTCTATCAAAATTATACTAACTTCTAATATATTTTAAAAAAATTTACATATAATTCATTTATAAATTATAAAAAATTGTAATGGGTGCCATATATTAGTGGTAATGGAAGGTGACAGGCGACAATACTGGTGATAAAGGGTGGTGGGTGGTGGCAATGGAGAATGTCAAGTGGTGGCAATGAAGAATGCCGGACACATTGATATTGAAAGGTGGTCGGTAAATATGCAGTGGTAGCAACGGAAGGTGCTAAGCCTCGACAACAATGGGGTTGTTGGGTGACGGAATCATTGGAGGGTAGTAGGCAACTACGATGATAGTGAACGGTGCTGAGTGATAATAGTAGATGGTGTCAAACGGTAATAACAGTGGAAGGTGCCAGATGGCAATGGTGGAGTGCCAAGCAGTGATAATGACAGTGGATAGAGGGAGTCAAATGGTGAGGGTGGAAATGGTTGGGTGTCAGTGGAAGGTGTCAACACACATCGACAACGGAAGTTGTCGAATGACATTGGTGAAGGATTTGGTATTCCAGCAAGAGTGTAGGGTGTCAAGTGGTAATGGCAGGAGTTTTAAGAGATGGTGGTAACATTGGATAGTGCCAATGACAACAATGATAGGTGTTGGCAATGGTGACAACGTTAAAAGTCTGCCTAGTGTTAATGGGCAATGGTAGAAGGTTCAAGTGATGGTGAAAAGTATTTTTTTTCCCGAGTCATTTCTAATCCAACACTCCCCTCAAGATGAAGTTCATACTAGGTCAGTAAGATAGAATAATTAACAGGATAAATTTATTATATTTGATTAGTTAAACAAATGCTTAATTAAATGCAATATGATAACTTATCTCCCTTGTACTGATTACCAAACAAGCCTTTAGATGATAATTTTTTATTCAAAAATAAAGTTTATTATATCATAAATACAAAAGCATAAAAATTGATTTTTCCTAATAAAAACTTGGCACTTCTATATCCTAAAAATCAACACTAAAGGTTAATGTTAATAAAACTTGTATATATGCACTGGTTTGCTCTATAGTTGTCCTGGGTAGTGATCCAAACTTCCTCAATTGAAAGATCTATGCCTCCAACAACTAACATATGTCAAAATTATCACTTTTCTTTCTCTACCATTTAATATTAAGTCTAAAGTTCATGAGTGGATGTATTCCAAGAAGCATGTTTATACCACTTGCATAAAGATTAGTGGAATTAGTTAGAGTATCTAGAGGATATCTCATAATATCATGAACATATATTTAGAATAGTTTAAGAGTATCTTTAACAATCTATTAGGAATAATTTCCATATTTCTTCATATTTCATGATTTGTTTTTTCTATTTAATTAAGATTACAGTCTAGTATTAGTACTATTAAGATGTCCTACATTGGTTAAGAATAGAGTAAGAATACTCCTTATAAGGGCTAGGATAGTTCTCCTCCTATGAGTTAGCTTTTGAGAGTGAGTGAAGCCAAATTTTTTAACATGGTATCAAAGCCTATTCGGATTGAACGTTGGGCTGCCCACAGATGTCCAGTCTTGTTGGATCCACCCACACAGATGTCCAGTCCTGCAGACTTCACGCACCAGATGTCTAGTCCTGAGCGTGAGGAGTGTGTTAAGATATCTTACATTAGTTGGGAATAGAGCTAGAATATTCCTTATAAGAGTTAGGGTAGTTCTCCTTCTATGAGCTAGCTTTTAGGAGTAAGTTAGGCCCAAATTTCTTAACAAGTACAATTAGTGCTTAATACTTTGTTTTATGTATTACGTTAAACTACATAAGAAAATAATTATCTTGCTATTGATTTTTGACCAAATTCAATAGTATTGTGTGATCCATGTATGGATCTAACCTCGTGACATAGGGTTTAATTGTTGTTGTAGTCACTTTTATCTCTCTCCTCCACTAAATCCCTTTAATTTAACGATAGCATTAGAGTTATACCATTCTCCCTAATGTATTTTGTCTATTATGCTCTAGAGTTTCCTAATATTTGGAGCTATATAGTAACAATATCATTGTTATGATGTCTCACATTGTCTAAAAATAGAGTAAAAAATACTTTTTATAATGACTTGAGTAGTCCTTTTCATACAAACTAACTTTTGGGAGTGACTTAGGCCCAAGTTCCTTAATATGGTATTAGAAGCTATCTAGTTTTAATGTTGGGCCACCATAGATGTCCAGTCATACAAACCTCATGCACTAGATGTCCAACCTTAAGTGTGAGGAGTGAGTGTTAAGATATCTCACATTAACTAGGAATAGAGCCAAAGTACTCCTTATAAGGACTTGAATAGTCCTCCTCTTACGAGCTAACTTTTGGGACTAAGTTAGGCTTAAGTTTCTTAATAATTTTCTTCTCGCCAGTTATGCACAAATTCTAGTCACACCTCTCTCAAGTTCATCGAGAGCTTTTATGGAATCCCTGGATTGGTTTGTCCATCTACTGGGTCATCTTTTTGACAAACAGGTTCTTACCTTCCACAACAACTTTTTGTATAAGCTTCCCCATCAATCACACCATTAGAATTGTCTCGTCTAAAATGGCCCTATCTATGGTGGTTTAAAGTTAAGCCAACCTCATCCTGCCATCTGGCAAAGCTGCCCATCACCACCCAACAATTTTAGGCTGACAAACCCATTGTAGGAATCACTTGTCCAAGTTGGCCCATTTTTTGTGGTTTAAAGTTGAATCAACTTCATCTCACCATCTGCCACTGTTGCTCACCTCTGTCCTTTTAATCCTCACAGTTTCTGGCCAACAAGCCCACCATAAGGTTCATCTCATCTATAGATTGGCCCATCTTCACTGACTTCATGATAGAGGATCCACATGTCATTATTGTCCTTTGCTACTAGTCTCGCTGTAGCTCCTAAGACACATGGAGGTACGTTAGGCATCATTCCTAGCTGCCATTTACAATACCATGCTTGTTGCTCTCACCTCATCCAATCTACATTGTTTAGGTAGCATGTCATTGATAACGGTTGAGATTGCATATCAGCTACAAATATGACTAAAATTGAATTTATAAAAGTCTAGGCAATCCTCACCTAACAAAGTAGCTTTTGAGTAAAACCTAAAGCCCAAACTCTGATGGTATCTAAGCCTATCATAAGATTTGATATTGGGCTACCCTCAACTGTCCAAAAATCAACTTGGCCCCATGGATTTTTAAATGCACTTAACCTGACCCTGCAATTTTTCCAGTGCAATATTAAAAAAAAAAAAATCTTACAATCTCCATGCTCCAAATGTCAATCCTGGGTGTGTTCAGATCCCACATCCACTATAGATATGACTAAAGTAGAGTTTATAAAGACTCAGGATCTTAGGTAGCCTTAGCTTGTGTCAAACACAGTCTGGTGGCTTACTGGTCATTGTCCCAGATTCAATATGGCCTTGTCTTTTGTCCCAAACACAATCTGCCCCAACGGTCTAGTCCTAGACTCAATCTGGTCCTGTCAATCCCCAACCCCATCCCAGGAGCTGCCTCTATCTAAAGTCCCAGATACAATATGGCCATGCCCATGTCTATTCCTCACTCATTAACATTTATTCTTCTAGCTGCAATCAGGTTGTCTACCCAGATGCAATTTAGCCTTATCTATCTCAAGTGCAATTCGGGACCCATCCCAAACCTATATTCTACTTCCAATTTTTGGGTTTCTTAATTGTTTTTTATGCTATTTGAAGCTTCCAAATTTTTTTTTCATATTGCTTTGCAGGAATTTGCATTTATGACCATTCCAGCAAAATTTCTTCTTTCTTGGCAATTTAGCATTCCAATCAGCTCTTAAAAGTTGCTGATTATTCTTTCCATCTTGCTTAGTTGTTTTTCCAGTAATACTTATCCATCCAAAGTCTCCACCATCCCTAAATTGCCCTTCCACCCATGTTTTGTGGGGTGCATATTATATCGTATGGTAGTAGATTCAGTTATTACAAGATACCATGATTATATCTTAGAATAGTGTAGAGTCTTGGATAATCTCCTCAGAACAGTTTTCATATTTCTTTATATTTCATGATTTGATTCCATCCATATTTAATGAGGATTACAAGTCTAGGATAGTTTGAATAAGAGTTAGTAGTTTATCTTTTGTATCACATAAAAATACATGAGAATACTATTCACTTTCTCTTTCCCTCCTCCATTACTTAAATCCCTATACTTTCAACAAAGTTAAGTACTTAAATGGCTTGTATTTGATGAAGCCCTAAAAAATAGACCAGAATCTGACCAAAGAGTAAAGGCTACCTGAGATTGAATAAATTCAACAATCTCTAGCAGCCTTGCTGATTGCTGAGAATGAATCCCACCAGAAGTTCTCTCTATTGCTGGTAGTCTTTCCAAGATTATATCAAGATAACTCTACAAAATAACAAACAAGAACAATAATAAGTAACCACCATCCAGACATCATGATGTACTTGATTGATTCAGGACCTGCAATATGCACCAGAGACAAAAAGTGAACTACATTAAAGCACAAAAGTCAACACCTTAGTAGTATATGAACCATCCAATTTAAGCATTGAACCTGCTGTTGCCACTGCATCTTTATTAACACCCTTTATTTGAATGTATGGGCCAGGAACATCTTGTAGATGATCAACCTCAATCAGAATCTACCGCAGGAAAAAAAGAAGAAAACAACATAAACGAAAAGCTTCAATGGCAAGTCAGAAGCTCATTAACCATAAACATTTATTCCAATGCATATGCAACAGATTTGGTTTAATTTGCTACCATGCTCATTCATCAAACAAATTTATGCATTGTATTTTAACATGTTTAATTTGCTTATTTCTTATTTCCTTTATACTACAGATTTGGTTTGATTTATTCCTTATTTCTATATTTATTGTAATAGGGCTTGTGGGAAACCAAGTAACTTTAGGAAACAATAATTTAGGAGATTTATTTATTTTTGTAATCTGTACAAATATTTAGGAAATATTCCATGATTCAAGGGAGCCTAGAATAGAATAGGGAGTTATTATGTTTCCCAAAAAAGTGTAGGTCTGCTGTATATATTTGTATAATGTCTCAATGAAATATACAGGAAAACAATTAACCTATTCTTTAGAGGGCTTGTTTTGATGCCCATGATTTTAGCATACTTTTTATGATCGTAGTTGTATATATAGACACATTGTACCCTGAAATACCGTTCAGAGTACTTATTTATTCTTTGTATCTTGCATCTCTCCTATATTTTCCATTCTCCTTCAAATTCTTGTTTTTCAACCTATAATTTTGCATTAATAACCACTTCTATTAAAAAAGAGTGATCAAAAGCTCCACTTTTCAGAGTCACAATAGAAGAGGTATCAATATTTGGTTAATAATTCAAGAATTCATAATGATAAATCTAATCTTGAGTTCTGGTCAACAACTCAACATAATCCTTTATCAAAATTCAGCTGTTAAAAATGACTTGAATCCCCATAGCATGATGATCAGCCAAGTTTAAGTTTAGGAAAGAGGCAAACTGGGAGAAAAAAAGTCAGGATCAAGTTCCTTTGAGTCTTACAAATTCTACAAAATAATTACTGGAAACATGTATTTTCATCCAGATGCAAGTCATAAGATAAGTCATGCTACCTTTCCATCCTGATAGATGAATGCAGATGCTTCAATATAAGCAACTGCTTGATACCTGACAGAAAGTGTTACCAATCAATAATTACCTAAACATACTGTCAACCGAATAAAGAAAAAGGAAGCAATCAAGAATTGTGTTACAGATTACAAGATCTATTATAGGCACTATTTCCTATACAGTACAGATTACAAGAACTTGTAACTTGAAGAAATAATACAATGTATATATAAAGCATAACAAGCATGTGCATAATCCTAAAACTGGCCTTAAGCTGGAGCACATATATCATATGCATAAAACTTGTTGCAAACAAAGTCCAGTAGATGTCCAGTCAGGGATTTAGTAAACATATTTGCTTGTGAATAGTAAGAGTTGACAAAGGCCATAACACCTCACATGAATGAACCTTTCCTTCAATCTCTGCGTTTGGTCTTTCCATGCAAAACTATGCTGGAGCCAAAATGCAAAGCATCTTGATTGTCACAAATTAATTTCATGTTCTTTACATCCCTCAATTGAAGCATCTAAAGCCACTGCTTTAGCACATAAATTGACAGATTGCTGCAACCATCAATGCGGCACTTAGTAACTGCACTGGATCTAACAACAATGTTTTGCTCCTTCCTTCTCCACGGAACCAAGTTTCCCCCAACAAACCCACAATAACCTAAAGTTGATCTTCTATCTAATGGCAATCCTGCCCAAATCAGTACCATTATAACCAACTTTAGCATTGCCTTTGTTATCATATAGTAACTATTTTTCTGGTGCACTCTTAAGGTATCTAAGAACACAAACCACAGCATCTCATTGACTATCATAAGGAGCATTTAAAAACTGACTTAGTTACAACAAAAGTAATGCCTAGTGTAGTCACTGTAATGTCAGAAATTTGGCTTTCTTGCTTTCCTTCATTCTATTCCTCTCAATAAATAATACATAGCATGTACAACTATTAATGACACTTGATCCTAATTCCTGATTTGTACAACCAAAATTAGGAATCCTAAACATACACAATTAATAGGCTGAATAATATTCCTAATTTATAATAGGAAATAAATATACATATAACAGAACAGCAAATTGTTAGAAAAAATAATAATGGTCCAGCAGATTCCTTCCCTAACATCCTCCCTCAAATTGATGCAGGTGATCAAGGAACATCAATTTGTTAGTGAGAAACTGTGCAAGGGACGAGGAACAGCCTTGGTAAAAATATCCGCTAGCTGAAGTTGCAAGCTGTGAGGAAGAAAGACAACACAAGTATCAAGAGTCTCACGCATGGAATGACACTCAACTTCAATATGTTTGGTGTGTTCATAGTGGATTTGCAACAAATTGTATAGTTTAGTATTGTCAGCATAGAGAGGGGTAGTCTCGGGTTGAGAGAAGCCAAGTTCAGCTAAAAGTCCACGAAGCCAAATAATTTTAGAGAAGGCTATAGACTTAGCACGATATCAGACTTAGTGGAAGACTTAGAGACTTAGGCTTGCTTTTTACTCTTCCAAGAGATGAGCATAGAACCTAGAAACATGCACCAACCTGTGACAGATCTTCGAGTATCTAGACAGCCTGCCCAATCAGCATCATTATAACCCACCATATTAAGAGATGTCCCATTAGGAAAGAACAACCCCTGATGAGAAGTACCTTTCAAGTAACGAATGATATAGCGGACAACAGCTGGGTGAAGGTGGCAAAGGGTGTGCATAAATTGGCTAATTTGCTGGACCGCAAATGAGATGTCAGAACATGTAATAGTCAAATAATTAAGACTACCCATTAATTGCCGATACATCAAAGGATAAGGCAGAATGTCACCCTCATCACGAAGATATTTAACATTAACTTCGAGAGGAGTATCCATAGGAGCAGCACAGTGAAGACCAGCTAAGGAAATTAAATCTTCAGTATAATTGTGTTGATGGAGAAAAAAGCCTTTGGGGTGAGAATGAACCTCAAGACCCAAAAAATAATGAAGATTGCCTAGATCCTTCATATGAAAAGAAGCTTGAAGCTGCTACTTAAGGTGCTGTATGGATGCATGATCATAGCCAATAATGACCATATCAACATAAATAAGAGGAATAATACCAGCTGCCATGGTTTGAATAAATAAAGAAGAATTATGTGGACTTGAGTAAAAGAAAAGCCAAGGAGAGTAGTCCGAAAATTTTCAAACCATGCTCAAGGTGATTGCTATATGTATATAAAGAACGTTTGAGCTTGCAGACACCTATACAAGAAGAAAACAAACCCTGGGAAGGGGTCATATAAATATCTTCGACTAAGTTACTATGGAGAAAAGCATTCTTGACATCCATTTGATGGAGAAACCAGCCTTGGGAGGCAGCAATATAGAGTACAATTCTAATTGTAGTCAATTTTGCTACAAGTGAAAATGTTTCATCATAATCCACCCCATATTCCTGTTTGTTACCCAATGCAACCAATCGGGCCTTGTACCGATTAAGAGAACCATAAGAATGAAGTTTCACAGAGTGCACCCATTTGCAGCCAATGGTTTTGACACCGGGGGAATGGAACAACACCCCAAGTATAGTTTTCTTGAAGTGCCAACAACTACTCTTGCATAGCTTTGACTTAACACACATCCTTAACAACTTGTGAATAACAAGTGGGAATAGGAATGCTAGATAAAGTGGTAGTAAAAGAAGTAGGTGAATAACCACAGCTATTCGGTGGACAAGAAATACGGCTGGATCTATAAGTGCTATGGGCGTAGAGTTAGGTGACAGTTCAGGCACAGGAAGGGGTGGGGCAAGCTAGCATCTAGTATATACATAACCTGGTTTAAAGCATTTTGTAGCACAAGAAACATCCCACTCTACTGTAATCATTTACAAAAAAGTACATCATGGATAGTACCATCACAACCTCTGCCCCATGCACCCCGGTAGTTGGACTCAAACCAAACCAGGGCAAATGACTTAACTAACATAGATGGTGAAACAAATTGAAAAGGAAAGTTGCAAGAGTTCTGAAACAGTATCATAAGAGCAAACTATTGAAGTCCTACATTGTATCTAAAGTAGAACTTATAAAGGTTAAGAAAATCCTCATCTTACGAGCTAGCTTTTGGGTTGAGTTAGGACATAAACTCAAATTTACAATGGTATAATAGCTTATCATAGATCTGATATTAGGGTCACCCTTGACAGGAAAAAAAATTTGAGCTCACTAATTTTCTCAATGCAATTAATTTAGCCCAATGGATTTCTCAGCACAACCTACCTGACCCTGTGACTTTCCTGGTGCATCCTACTTGGCCCCATCCACACTTTTCAGCATGTCGATCTATATCATCAATGGAGCATAAAAGTGTATCAAATTCAGAAACCAAATACAATCCTGCCTTGAAAACCTATTTTCACTTTATCATGGTGTCCGAGACTATCTGATCTTGATTCAAGGCAACCTACAATTATCTAGTTCTGCAAACTTCACATTCCAGATGTCTAGGTATGAGGGAATGTGTTGAGATCCTACACTGGTTTGGTATATGCCATAGTACTCCTGATAATGACTTGGGCTTACTCACCCCTAGAGCTAGCTGTTAGTTACTTAGGTTGGAGTTAGGTCCAGTTCATCACAACATCAACAAGAATCAAGATGTTACTCTACTCATGTACAATTGTCACACTACTAATTGTTCTTGAAGCATTTGTAGTTCAAACACCACAACTTAATTCATAAAACAAAAGTTTTATGTTTACTGAAAATCTACAAATGGGGCATATAACTTTTTTTCACTGAATTGTGGCTTACCCAAGATTAAGAAGACCAGCAACTGTACTGATGCTAATATCAAAATCCACTTTAGGCTGAATGATGAAGTTTCCTTCTCTGATAGGCTGACAAGTAGAAGATAACATGAAAATTTTCAAATAAAATAGAGCACCAAAAACTGACACAATAACTAGACGTTGATGTACAATTGTGTTGAGGTATCAGCAGGTAAATAACGGAAAGAAAAATAATGCTCCAAACCTCCCGTATCAGTAACGCAAATCTGCCTTCACATATTCTGACACGAATACAATCACTATCTCTCAACTGCCCATTGGAAGGGATCCCAGGAAGCCTTATGTAAATATCAATAAATTTCTGCACTGAACTGCAAAATTTTGCTGGATCAAGAATTGCAAGAATATCTTGATAAGCTACCTGTTATTTATTGCTATCTTTAGTAAACATGTTGAACAAAACCTTGTCACATATTATAATTTATAAATACAGATAAACCTCTTACTTTTTTGTTACTCTTTAATACAAATAATGAACTCTCAGGAGAGAGCACAGGGTCAAAGTCATTTCGAATTTTAAGCTGCAAGTAATATTAAAAAGTGACATGTCATATATCTATCATTTCTCCAAAAGCAACTGTCCATCATCTATAAGAAAAAAGAATACTAAAAGACAATAATGCAAACAGAAAGAGTTGACTATGAACATCAACTAAAATAAGCAAGTTTTATATTGTTATTCCAGTGTCAGTAATCATGGTCATGAATGAAAACTTTTGCAACCGAAGTATATCTCAAGATTTACAGAATTACATATTACTGTCACATAGGCACAGTTAAAAGCATTATAAAAGGTAATGATGTATAATTCTTGTTTACATGGAATTTTTAATGGTTCAGTGTCTAAAATCATCAAAGCTATTAAAATTAAGACTTCCGAAGTAGTTTTAAAATCATTGGGGGAGGGGGGCAGATGACGCTATCCACTAACATGTGCATGAACAAGATGAGGTTCAATAAGCTGCTGGAACATAGGAAACACTGTCATCATGATCTCATTCTGGGAAATAAAACATCCCACTCTACTCTTATCTCTTTGAACTCGTGAAATCAAATGTGAATGAACACCTCCAACCTGTTTCAAAAAAGAAAATCAAAGCCATAGGTTTTCTTGGCCCCAATATAAACAAATAGAAGATAAATGAAGGGGCCTTCAAATATGGATGGAAACGCATTCTTACCACAGCAATCCACAAGTCAAGTGATATTCGGATATCAGGATGCAAAGCATAGACGCCTTCAAATATAATCTGATCAAAATTAACAGATAGGCTATCAAGAACCATAGTGAACAAATAGAAACTAGAACCAGAATAGCAATTATATCAGGAATTCCTTGTATAAACTAATATGCATCAGGCATATAATGTCATGTTATTATGCACATATGTAATTCGTTTTTATGGTATCCTTGATTTGTCAGAAAACTGGAAATAAGTAAAAAATGGGCAAAGATATCTTTTTAGAGGTGAAGTGTACGTGTACAGTGTACCATAGCCTGCAAGCTATGAGGAGCTAAGCTCTAAGACAGTAAATTCCTATGCAGCTATTGGGATGGTAAGTGGGAACTTCAAAGAAATAGGCAGGTCAAACATGCTATACTATTAAATCAGTGTTAGATAAGACCATTCCAAGGCCTACATCATCATCATCAACAACAACAACAATCAAGCCTTATCTCACTAGGTGAGATCGGCTACATGGATCACACAACACCATTGAGTTCAGTCAAAAACCAAAATTTCAGAAATCTGGTTTACAAGGCCTACATCAAATATCTTAAAATTTTGGCAAAGTTGTCCCCTTAAATATCAAACTTCTCAGACCAAGTGATCAGGAGTTTAATTCTTGCTTCCCCATTCTTCTACTTAAAATATAACATCAGCAAAAGGTTTAAGTGGGCTTGCATTTTGTTCAAACTTTAAGCCCATACAGCTTTCACCCAACATTGGCACCTAAGAGTATTTGCACTTGGAATGGTTGGCTATCTCAAGTTTGGCATTAATCCATTACAATGTGAATATTTAGTCCAACACTGAATTCAAAATCTACAAAGATATGTTCTCATGGGGTTTGTAAAAATGCAATCAATAAATTATTAAATCTACAAACATAGTTCTAATACAGGTAACAAAGTTTGAGTTTTGGAGCACTAGTTTAATGACTGACCACTCCACAATCTTCAGATACTTCAAGTTCCTTGAAACCACTCCGAGCACCACTTTCCAAGTCAAATAGAGGTACTTTTGTTCTTCGACTGTTTCTTATGTCATCAATATTCTGCAAGGGACTCAAATAAGAATGTTAAACAATCCATTAGTACAATGGCTGAAAAATATCAAGAAGCTTTGACTAACCAAGCATTGAAAGCAAAGAGATGCTATCATCATCCTTTTTTGGTGAATAGAGATATGAATACCATCTTATTTGAGCAACAAAAATGGAGAAAGAAAATAAATGAATTTTGCAATAGCAAATCTAATCAGTGCTGAGGTAGGAAAAAAAAATTAATTAAAAAGTGTTATTAATACTTTTCCTTTATGATTTTCAATGCATCCACAATGTGATATCCTATAAAAACTTTATATCTATTGATTCATTAACCAGTGACTGAACAAGACCCTTTTACGATAAGACAATACAACTGCTATTCTTTACTTCAAGATGCAATTACTGAAATGAATCTTGAGGTAAATAATATCACAAAGAACTTGGTTTTATATCAAGCTCAATGATTTCATGTAATCCATGTATCTGACCTCATCTTGTAGCATTGTTGTTATTTTTGTTATAATAAATAGTTATAGGTTCAGTTATGTGATTTAAGAAGCAATTATTTTATGTATGTTTGAATTAAAGACAATTATTTGGTTTTGTAGGAGCAGTTATGTAATTTTCGTATATAATATGCATTATATGAAAATAGAAGTGGAGGCATGTATTTGGAAGTTCTTTGGACAGAATTATGTCTAGAGGAGTTGTTGAAACTCGGGGACAGTTTCTGTTGTAATTATCTATACAATTAGTGTTTAATCCCAAATTCTAGTTTCTATCAGATTGCCACCTCATTCAGGATAGGGGATTCAAAATTTTGGAGAAACTGATGGAATGACTTTCAGGCAAACTGTACACTATGCTACATACTACATTGATCATTACTTCAAACCATCAAGGGGAGGAATTCATGAGAACCAGAAGGGGTAGTAGCACAAAATGACATGATTTTGTTAAATAAAAAAGGAAAAAACAAAACCTCCACAAAAGTAGTAGTTTCAGGAAGAGGAATAATTAAAAAAGTTCACTTCACAGAACACAAAAATCCATTTATCTAGTGAAGTCAAGTACACAAGAAGTTATACATAAAGGAAAAGCATAAATTAATTATAAAAAATATATAAAGTAACCCAATCAACTGCATAGAAACTATTCAATTACTTTACCTTTGATAGCAATGATAAATCAAGAGCGCTGAAATCATCATATTTAAAATCCTTTACTTGTTTATAATAGCTTTCCAGGGAAACTACTTCACAACCAATTATATTAGCCATTTTATGAGCCAAACTAGTCTTTCCAGACCCACTTGGACCTCCTGAAAAGCATAACTTTCTCTGGATCAGTCATTTTTCAGAACTACAGCTATTACATGTATGCTTTGAGAAGAGATACTCCACAATATTCAATAAATCAATAACCAAAAGAAAAAGGAGAAGAAAAAGAACCTCAATATACAAATTCAAGCAGAAATCATTGGGCCTAAAACATTCAATTAATAGAAGGGTCAACAAGGGGTCATTAAATCCAAGTAGCTCACAAGCTTAAGGAGAGCCAAGCTCAAGCCAAGAAAATGGGTTCAACTTCTGAATGAGCTGATGATAAGGCTATTTTGGTTCAGCTCAACTCACTTCCAGCCCCAACTGCAAGCATTTGAAAAACTAGCCTGGTATATCCTAACACAAAAATACCTAAACTGACCTTGGACAGTTCACTACCTACTTCTCAATTTCAGATACTGAATACTAACCTGTTTAGAAGGCCTGCACCCTATTATTCCATTTGTTATGAAATGCCTCCTCATCTAGATTCTCTTTTTCACAAATTTATACTTAAATGTTATCACATTTGCTGTTAGAGATGTTTTCTGAGATACAGCTAGTTTTATACATGGTTCCTTGTGGCAAAGAAAGACAGAAGTATGCAGGGAGCATATCTTCATGGGTAAATGGGAACCAACTAAACTGTCCCCATTTTGTGTCCCCTTCCCTGTCTCCCCAGTTAGAAAATGACACTTCAGCTAAAAAGATGTTAACAACTACAAAAAAGTAATAATTTTTAACTGCAATTCCTTTTCTAAGTGAGGGGATAGCAAATGAGGGAGTAAACAGGGATAAGTGATTTTCATCTGGGTAAATGGGGAGAGACACACACATACAAAGGAAGGAGAATGAGGTATCCATATTACCAATTCCGACTATGACCGGGACACCTTTATTCTCTAACAAAGCCTGGAACAAACATAAATAAGCAGATAAGATTCAAGCATATGAATACCTTATGGAATCAAAATCTTCAAAACATAAGGATTAGATGAAATTTTCAAGCTTCTACTCCTTACTTGTATTGCTTGAACTGCCAAAAGCAATCCCCTATCCAAGTCATATGAATCAGGCATTGGAGCAAGCCTAATGCTATCCCTGAAAGATGAAGGATCTGTGGTTGCTTCATGAGAGAAGTCTCGATGTAAAGGAAATCTTACATAACATGCAGGAAGTTATCTCCAAATATCAGAAAAGGTTTGGGCTACATCTTCCAATGCAAGGAAAAATACCTAGGACTGAATGGCCAGGCTGAGAGGAATCTGAAGGTATGAAATGCCACGTAGCCATAACAGGATCCATTTTAGATTTTGTCGGGGATCGAGTCCACGGCTGAGATAAATCTTCAAGCCCAGTAACAAGGTTAGGAGAAACACGAATTGGCTTTGGTGCAATGATTGCTGTTTCTTGATTACCAGCCACGGTTGCACTAGACACAAGTGGTGGTGTACTAAGACGTGGTACACCTGCAAGTTAAAGTAAGAAGAAGAAACAATGGCCACATTATTCACTGTTAATACAAGTCACAGCAACACATGGAAATTTTTTTAATCATTATCTTGATAAATAAGACAATACACTGAGAAAATTTAAGTCGATGTAAAGCTAAATTGAACAAATGTTGCCCTTAAAAATTATTTACTATTGTAGCATTCATCATCACATCCAAAGAAAAAAAAATATCAAACAATAAGAAAATAACTGAATTAATAGAATATGCACAAACGATATAAAAAGAACAAGCTTCCTAATCCCTACCTTTTCTTTCAAGAATCATTTCCAGATATGATTTAGTAATCCAAGGTCCATTGATACCCATCCCCAATGCTTCTGTTCCAACAGTCTGCAGAAAATATTATTTTTTCCATTTTTGAATAAGTAACTCAGCATATTATCAAACAAAAAAGGCTTAATGAAAGTAAGCAGAAAGCAAAGAACATCGAAAACAACCAGCCAAAAATGTTATTCAATGTAAAATGGAAGTTTATAAAACATTCACACTCTTGAGGACAGAGAGTTCAGTGTGTGATGAAAGAGTATCAACTCAAGAAGAAATAATCGCTTATTGTTTACAGTTTTGTGAGAAAACTTTTAAAAATAATTATTTTGCTGAAAATGATCTCATTTAAACACTCACTAAATCAACTCAAAAGAGCAAAATAAGTTTTTGTCTTAACTAGATTTTCAGATTTAAGATATTAGATGGTCAATATTAAATGGAGAGCTGTTAGAATCTATTAGAATCTTGTAAATATAATAACTGTATATTTTGTAATTATGTAATCATTCCTATAAATTTGAATAACTCTGTTGTGCCCTAAACTACACAGATTCAATATTTTCTTTCTCAACATGGTATTAAGAGCCTAAGGAGAGGCAACCCTAATCCGTTTTTTCCCAGTAGACCCACTGTTCACTGGTGCCAATTTTTTTTTGGAAACCGTTTCATCTCCGGTTTCTAACATTTCACCCTCCTGTTCCGTCGCCGCCGCCGCCTAACCTCCGATCACTACGGCAACCCTACCGTTGTGGTCGCCTTTGTCAAATCAGCCGAACCCCACTGACTGCGCTGATAGGTGTAAGCCACCTTTAGTGAAGGTTTATCAAAGGAAGCCTAAGGCTAGGACACCTGCATAGGATTTGAATTGTTAGTCATAACTGTATTAGTTATAACTGTATTTTGTTTCATGCTCTATATAGTTAGTTCGAAAAGGAGGGAGGGTATATGGGGAGAAATCAAATATTGTAGGGAGAGATTGGAACTCTCGAAATTCCAGTGGGAGGGTGTATTATATCCTATTCTCTTCTCTTATTCAGAAAAGATTCAATAAAAATTCTATTCTTTGTTCGATACCTATCAATTTGGAATAAGAGCTCCATCCAGGAGCTGTGGTATCGATAACGTTTATGCGCAAAATAACTACCAGAATAGAGTCAAGAATCAAACGATTGGAGCAATGTATGGAGTTGTGGAACCGCGATCAAGAAGCTTGGAATTGCGAGCGAGAAGAGGATCAGAATCAAGAGGAAGAACGATTCCGACGACTACTGGAAGCGTTGGTGAAATCCTTGGTTTGCCGTTCTGAAGAAGACACGGGAAATGACGCAGTGCGTCGAGTGGCGGAAGAAGCAGAGCGACGGGCAGAAGATGACGCCCGGTCAGAGGCGGCAGTAGGAGGGCAACCTGTCAAAGTGAGTGAGCGGTGGAAGAAGATGAAAATTCCGATGTACGAAGTCGAAGAAGATGTGTTTTGGTGAGTTAAATAAATTGGAATGCTATTTTCGCTTGCAAGGAGCCGAGGATGGGGAGAAGCTTCAGGCGGTGATGGTGGCCCTTGAAGGTAAAGCTCTAAGTTGGTTTCAATGGTGGGAGTCATGTCATCCGCACCAAAACTAGGAAGAGTTTAAAGAAGCAATTATTGGTAGATTTCAGCCTGCCATGGTACATAGTCCTTTTGCAGCTTTATTGGCTTTAAGGCAAGAAGGCACGGCGGAGGAATTTGTTTCTCAATTCGAGAAGTTCGCAGGAATGCTGAGTGGGGTAGGAGAGGAACATTTGATGGATATATTTGTCAATGGCTTGAAGGAAGAAATTGGAGCTGAGGTGAAATTGTATGAACCTCCGAATCTATCAGCAATGATGAAGAAAACTTTGATGATTGATCAAAAGAATGCAGCAATGATGAAGAATGGAGTTGAGGCCGTAGGGAAGCATTTGAGCAATTATAGACCATCATCTTTCTCTCGTACGGTGATTGTGGATATAGGGTAGAAACGGGGAGCGGGAGGAACACATGCTGAGGTAGTTTCAACGGCATCATCTGCTGGTAGTAATGGAAGTGGGTCTGGATTTAGAGGATGGGATGGTGATTTCAAAAGGTTGTCCAATGCAGAAATGCAAGAGAAAATACGAAAGGGGGAGTGTTTTAGGTGTGAGGAAAAATATGGGCCAAACCATATTTGTAAAAATAAACAGTTAAAAGTAATGTTGTTGGAGGAAATGGAGGGTATGAATGGGAAGGGGGGAGGACAATTCAGAATGCGAGGATGCAAGAGGCATTTCCTTCCTTCCACCTTGAGGATAAGGTGAAGCTTTTGGCACTGGGCATTGATAGGTGTAGGCCACCTTTAGTAAAGGTTTATCAGAGGAAGCCTAAGGATAGGACACCTGCATAGGATTTGAATTGTCAGTCATAACTGTATTTTTTTTCATGCTCTATAAATAGTTAGTTCGAAAGGGAGGGAGGGAGGATATCTGAGGAGAAATCAGATATTGTAGGGAGAGACTGGAACTCTCGAAATTCTAGTGGGAGTGTGTATTGTATCCTATTCTCCTCTTATTCAGAGAAGATTCAATAAAAATTCTATTCTCTGTTCGATACCTATCACGTGCCTTCATCGGAGTCCTCACGCGCCACCCCCTTCTCTATTGTGTTTTCTCACTCGCCATCCTCTCTCTCCGCACGTGACGGCGCGTCTGACATCCTTTCTTGACGCTGTCGTCTAGGGTTTGCTCGCCCCTCTCTTCTCTACCTGTATCAGGTCTCAGTTAGTTGTTTTGACATCTATTCGCCCTTGCTTTGCCCTTTTTCGCTGCTGTTTGGGCATTTTCTCCCTCTTCTTGCTGACCAATGTCTACCTCCAATACTCCAAAAGCTGCACTCAGATTTTTACCAACCATGTCACTGCACCTCTCTCTTCTGAGCAGTTGGGTGGTAAGCGCTACTCCTCCTAGGCTTCTCACATTGAACTTTGGCTTGTTGGACAGGGTTATGAGACACATCTCACTCAAACAGCAGACGATGTCCCAAAGGCCGACCATCCTACGTGGAAAAAAGTTGACGCTCGGTTGTCCTGTCCATTGCTGCCATACGTCATTGGCCTCTCTATCAGTTACATATCAAGAATGCTTTCTTACATGGTGATCTACTTGAAGAAGTTTACATAGAGCAACCTCCTTGCTTTGTTGCTTAGGAGAAGTCCTCTGGTCTTGTATGTCACTGCAGAAATCTTTATATGGTATCAAGCAATCACCCAGAACATGGTTCAGCAAATTCAGTACTGTGATTCAACAGTTTGACATGACTCAGAGTGAAATTGACCATTCTGTCTTCAATCGTCACTCACCTACCAGTTACATCTACCTGGTTGTTTATGTTAATGACATTGTCATCACGGGTAGTGATCATCGTGGCATTGCACAGGTGAAGCAGCATCTCTTCAAACATTTTCAGACAAAAGATGTTGACAAACTCAAATATTTTTTGAGAATAGAAGAAATAGTCCAAAAATAGGATCATCATTTTTCAAAGGAAGTATGCAATGGATATTCTAGAAGAAACAGGAATGTTAACTTCCAAGCCAGTCGACACTCCCATGGATCCCAATGTCAAGCTCCTGCCAAATCGGGAGAGCCTCTTCTAGATCTTGAAAAATACAAAAGATTAATAGGAAAGCTGAACTACCTCACTGTTACCCGTCTAGATATCTCATTCACAGTAAGTGTAGTAAGTCAATTCCTCAACTCTCCATGTAAGGAACATTCAATGACTCGCATTGTTCGATACATCAAAGGAGTTCCAGGAAAGGGTCTTTTGTATGAAGACAAAAGACACATATTTTGATGCAGATTGGGCAGAATCTCCCATAGATAGAAGATCCACCTCTGGATTCTGTATATTTGTCGGAGATAACCTTGTCTCTTGAAAAAGTAAGAAGTAGAATGTTATAGTCCGGTCCAGTGCGGAAGCGAAGTATCGAGCTATGGCTATAGCAAGTCAGGAGCTTATATGGCTCAAACAGTTGCTTCAAGAGCTAAAGTTCAAAGAGGTCACACATGTCATTTATATATGATAATCAAGCCGCCATGCATATTGCCTCAAATCCAGTATTCCATAAGAGGACAAAAGCACATTAAAATTGATTGTCACTTTGTCAGAGAGAAAGTCATGTTCGAAAAAATATCTACTAGTTTTATCAATTCCCATGCTCAACTAGCAGACATATTTACTAAGTCACTAAGGGGTCCTTGGATTAACTATATATGTAACAAGCTTGATGCATATGACCTATATACTCCAGCTTGAGGGAGAGTGTTAGAATCTATTAGAATCTTGTAAATATAGTAACTGTATATTTTGTAATTATGTACTCTTCTCTATAAATTTGAATAACTTCGTTGTGCCCTAAAACACACGGATTCAATATTTTCTCTCTCAACAAGAGCCATTTGTTAAAACTTGAAAATTTTGAAATAACAAAGGACTATGATAATTAAAGTTCTAGAAAGTACAAATCTATGCAATCAACTAATAATAAAACTTTCAAAAATTATAAGATATGAATACTTTTTCAAATCAATTTTTCATTATCATTAAAAACCCTTCTCATAAATTTTCAGATTTGAAATGCCACAAGAAAACATGCCCTCATTCCTTTTTCTAAAAGGTATACTTTTCTTACTCCTTTCTCATGGTCCATTGTATATATTAAATTTGAGCTTGGACCTAACTCAACTCAAAAGCTAGCTCATAAGCAGTGTTATGACACTTATTTGCATGAGAATTTCTTTAACCTTTATGGGCTCTACTTTAACTAAATCTGTAGTGTATGTAGGATCTCAACATGCTCCCTCATGCCCAAGATTGGATATCTGAATCAAGGAAATTGTAGGACTTTCTTGTTTTTTAATTGCATTGGGAAAGTTGCAAAACCAAATAGAACATTAGGAAAACCATGAGGCAAAGTAAATTGTCCAAAGAAATCTACCAGACCAGGTTAATTACACTAAAAGATCCGTTATGTTAGGTTAGTTTTTTACAATCAAGGGTGGCTCAATATCAAATTTACAACAGGCTTTATAAACTCTACTCCGATCATATTTATAGTTGATATGGAATCTCAACACTATAAAAACCATGGTAGAGCTAATTGTGGACTCCTAGGATCAAGAGTGAATCCTTAAAAGTTAAAAAAAAAGAAAAAAAAAATAATATAAAGGCTTAATTAAATGTTTGGTCCCTACAAAAGTTGCATAATTTGAATTTAGTCCCTATAAAATCTTTTGTTAGGATATATTCCCTACTTTTTTACAAACTAGTGTTTTTAGTTCCTGTAGTATACGTGGACCATTGAAATCCTGTCAAAGTTAGTTTTTGGTTGAGAAAAGAAGAATTATAACCAAACCTTGTCTTTAAAAAACACTAGATTCTTAACTAAAAAAAAATTACTTTATTGTATAGGATTTTGCTAACATAACCTTTTTAAGCATACAGAAGTAGAAAGATTTTATTGAAAAAAGTGCATTTATTATATTTAAGTTATAAAGGCTAATAAATACTTCAGTTTAAAAAAAAAAATTTATTAAACTAGTTTTTTAAAATCAGTCCTAAGGGCTGAGATTAACATTTACTTATTTTATATTTTCATCTTTTATCTTATCTTCAAAGGAATGAATGAAGTATCACGGTTAGCATCATCATTATAATTTCTTGAATTGTATAGATATCTTTTGAAATATGAAAATACATCATTTCTCATTAGTCCTATAGTTTTGGTTATATACTTTCTTATACATTATATAATATACTACTTAAATACACATTTAGCCACTACAATTGGTAGCTCCACTGTCACTCCATCACTACCACCACCATTGTATGGATATTGTAGGACATTTTGTGTTGTTTTATCAGGTACTTAAATGTATATGCAGCACAAAATTGTGATTGTGCATCAACCAACAAAAAATAGACAACGCGTTGTATTGTGACTCACCTACTTGTGTTGTTCCTCAATGTGCATCAAACACACCTAAGAGATCATCTAAGATACTCTAAATTATTCCAAAGATACTTTAAAGATATTATGAGATATCATCTAGATATTCGATTAAGTATAATATCATTCTTAATAGAATGTTGCATAAAATCAACATGAGTCACTTAAAAGTGAAGAATAAAAATGCAGGCAAGAAGATTTGATTTGGAAGGGACATAATCTGGAGTTATAAGGAAAAGTTCATACCTTTCTATTAGTTCCTCTCATCACCATGAATCTCTCACCAAGAGCATCAATAGTTTCAAAAGACATTGAAACCTTGCCATTATTGACAGTTGTAGATGCACGTTTATAACTAACCACAACAGTGTACCCAAGTGCCAATAATCCACCCAATGTCATTCGACCAACCTGTTCCATTATCAAACATGAAAAGCAAACAAAAATCTGCTAAAAAATAATAGGCTCATTTTTTCGAGATGAATAACAAGACAAGTTCAATGGAAAAAATGCTAAAAGATGCATAATCGAGGAACATTAGAAGTGTATGAAGAGTAAAAGGAAGAGGAATTATGACAAAAAAATATTTTAATCAAGCTTAATAACAAAGAAAAAACACCACTTATACAAAGACGCAAAGTCAATTTTTTATCAAAAACAATTCAGAACAATTTTTTATCAAAAACAATCGAGTACAACAAAATAATAAAATACCGAAATCTTAAAATATACATGATATGACTAGGGCCCCAAATATCTGAATGGACTAAACTAAAGGAAGATGCAGCTCAATTATTAATACAGCAATAAAATGAACTACGAACATATATACCTAACTGGCACAACTCACAAGGCAAGGTAGACAACTTGGAAAGACTCGACCAATTGTTGTAACTTCTAGGCTATGTATGGAAGTCATGTTTAGGAGGGGAAGGGAGAGGTTAATGGAGTTTAAACCTTGTTTGAAAGTTAATTAGAAAGGGAAGGGTTAGGGAGTTTTTTAAAGTTTTTCTAAACCCTCCAAAACCTCCGAACATTAGTTTTTTTAGTTCCTCCATTCTGGGGGATATTCTCTCTCACACTCTTTCACGAGAAGAATTCTAATTTTTAAATATATATATATATATATATATATATATATATATATTAATTTTTTAAGTGAGAATTTTTTTAAAAAATTTATAAAAAATAAAATTATTAATTTTTAGAAAGAGAAAAATATTTATTTTTTATTTTTTGAAAAAATAAAAAAGATAAAAAAAAATATGAATAAAAGATATAAAAAACAATAATATTATTTATATGATTAAACCCCTCATCACCCTCCCCTCTCAATATTAAATATTCAAACAAGGAAGAGGTTTAACCTCCTTCCACCTCTCTTTCCCTCCCTCTCCTCCTTTCCCCTTCAAATTCTTTCCCTTCTTTCCCTCCCAAACTCCTAAACAAAGCCTTAGAGACTATGACGACCCAACCGAGCATGTAGAAGGAGGAGAATTCACCCCTGAACTAGCATGAGCAATGGGATGAAGGTGATAAAGGTCATGAGACTGACATCCAATGTCAATCATCTGCCCCATACATTGATATTGCAAAAAAATAGAATCTTTAGTAAAAGAGACAACACAATCTAAAGTGCGAGACGACTAACGAATAAAAGATTAAAAGGATACCCAAAGACATATAAAACATTATCAACAAGTAAGGATGGAAAGAGATAAATAGTACCAATATCCTAAGATTATGTTTAAGAACTATTAGCCATAGTACCAAAAGCTAAATAACCAAAGGTAGAGAAAGAAGAAAAGGAGGATTTGTTACTAGTGATATGATCAATGGCACCATAATCAAGAAACCATGAACCATACAAAATGAGAAATACCTGCAAAAAATTACCAATATGCGCACCAGAGGCTACAGAACCAGAGGCATGACAATCTTCATACCAACAAAGGAAGTCATGGAGGATATCAATGGAGCGTGGTGTAGTAAAAAAGTTGGTAAAAACAAAGACATCAACCTTGGGAGTGGTTAAAAACACATTGGGCAGCCAACAAGAGAGGCAAATCCAAAATAGTCTTGATGAGGTGAGTCAAGTGAACTTAACAATGGCTGAAAAAGTTGTTGGAAAACCAGACCAGTGACATTGATGATGAACAGGGCACAGCGAAGGGAAGACTAGAAACCAGAATTGAAACATGGTTTCTGGAGAAACAATTTTACCAATGGGCAGTCTGTCAACCGAGTACACATGGATATAATATTAGCCTTTTCCTAGGTTCTAGATATCGTGTTAAGAGAGAAGAAAATGAAAGAGCATTGATGAAATCCGTGTGTCTCAACCATAGTTGTCAATTCCTGATAGCTGTGCGTAGCATATGACCCTCAAAACATTATAGCGGAATAGCATATAGCAAGATAATCGTTATTTTAAAGTTTTTTATATGGATATAAAATATATACATATGCAGAGAATTAGGTATATAATGCTAAAAAAATATTCTTGAATAACATATGAATAATTGTCAACAAAAGACTAAAAGAGAAAAAAGTGGATTTTCCAGGAGAACATAACAGAGGCATTACTGTAGAATCATAAAATAGAGAGAATAAAAGAAGTGGATTTCGCCAAAGAAGTCATCATAGATGAGTGACTCCACTGGATTGGAGATTGTTGCAAAGCAAAACAAAGGAGAGATGAAAGAAGGGATCATCGAACAGAGAAAGAGAGAAGGAAAAAAGTGGAGAAAAAGTGGGGTTTCGTCATGTGCATCCAGTTGCAAAGCAGAATAGCAATAGAGATGAGAGGACAAGGTGTCAAATAGAGAAAGGAAAAAGAAAAATGTGGGGAAAAGTGAGGTTAGGTTTTGAAAAACTAAGACTATTTTACCCTTAAAAAAGCCTCAAGACTGTGATGATAAGGGAAAAAGGAAAAATCAACTTATTTTAAAAAGATTAGAAGTCTTTTTACCCTTAAAATTTCAAAAATTGTTTCATTTTGAGGGAAGAAAAAGAAAGTTGGTATCTTTTAATATGGTGGCGCTATTGTGCCGCAAATACAGCCGAGATAGCCATGACAGTAAAAATGCTTTGCTATGCCAGATTTGTGGCAGCCAAAAGCCACTCTGCTACACATCACCGTTATAATGCACTATTGACAACTATGGTCTCAAGTACACAACAGGCTGAATATTTATATTGATAAAATATCAGCAATGATTACAAAATAATTACAGAATATCCCGTTACCTAATTACTATAATTACAAAGATACTAATTTCCCTAATAAACATATTTACACATATTTAACAGTATTCAATGATGTTTCTCTAGTCTACATCGTTCAAACTGCAGTCATTCTCACAATATAAACATTGAAGTGAGGACAAAGGTCAATTCTAATCTGGTAATCCATATTTTGCAATAAGACAATGCCAGTTATACCTCTAGCAAGCTTTCTTTGGAGCCAAAAATTAAGATAACAAGAACCTATTCTTAAAAAGGAAATTGCAAGCCCATAAAATATTAATGCTGTTGCATCATTGTAATCTAGATATCAAAATCATTCCTCAGCCAGTCTGCTGTATTGATCCTACACTGTTGTGCTAATTTCCACCCAGTGATGAAGATATTCAAAATTTGCAAACTGAACAGTGCTGAATAGGAAGGATGCTAACTTTTACATTTAATGCTCCAACTTCCTAGTCTTATTGCAAGAAACAGCACCTAAGTGTTGGGATAGGCAGAGGGAAAATGATTAGCAAGTCAACTGCTAACCTTTTTTATGTGGCCTACTAAGCTTAAGGAACACATTTGCAATTTACTCAGGCACCAATTTTTTGTAAGCACGGAAGGGGGATAAAATCCATGCCTTCTTGTTAATACACACTTTTGGTGTAATCAGCAGATTTAAACTCAATCTCAAAGATAGATAAAGTCCTTTGGTGATGTATCCTTTAACTAAATGTTGTACATATGACATTCATCCCACTCATGCTTCTTGTTATAGTTTTATTATAAGAAGAAAGGAAAAGAATAGGATGAAAAAAAGAAAAGGAAACATTCATACCTCAAACTCAGCTTTAGGCCTGATAATGAAATTCTTGTCAACAATCCTCTGGTCACCAAGTGATAAATAATATCTAATTCCAGACTGCCGCACTTTGATCCAATCATTTATCCTTGCTTCTTCACTCGCCGAAGGTGGTCTAAGGTACATTTCGATAAAACTGAAAACAAGACAAATTTTTCATCAAAAATATTTTAAATTCTACATATTAAAACTGTAACAAGAAATGGCTAAACATAAAATACACTAGTGAGTAATGACTGCCAATCTCATTTTCTTCCGACATCCAAAATACTAACTTATCTGTTTGAGCTTCATTTCCTTGAAAGGCAGACCCAAAATGTCCATCTGAAGACTGTCCCAATATTTAAAAGTAAAAAACTTAGTGTATACCAAACCTCAGAAAAAAATATTTAAAAGAAAAAGACTACAAAGATATTTGCAAAATTTGTACTAAAGTGAGACAGAAGAATAATAGAGGTGAAAGGATAATCTAGCCTCAAAAATTAATATTTATAGTTCCTGACAAAACCCAAAGGTAATAATATCTAAGAAGTAAAGAGTAAAAGGACATGCAGATAAATAATATAATTCGTGCAGAATTTATGCTATCCACTATCAGGGAACTGAGCTCCAAGTTAAACATTCCTTTCTGTACCAATCTAACATTGCTAATAACTTGTCACTGCATAACTACGTGTTTGTAACAAAATAACTGTTGAGACAATCTAAAAAGTATAGCTGATGATCTAACAATAAAGACAATGGACAGACAAGCAATGAACAATCTTGATTTGACAGACTTACGGAACATGACACCACACAAACCTATTCAATCAACATTCAAATGTGCAACACTAGCCTAATCTTGTAATCCAGCTTGATAAAGAATAAAAGAAAGAAGGCATCCCACATCATGTGGTTTCCACCACCCTAAGACACATACAGTGTATGGATATGAGCAGTGTCGTCAACATCAAGTGGTGAAAAGATTGTACATTGTGTATTTGTAACACACATCATAAGATCCTACCAAAATTATATGTGTAATTTAACATAAAAAATAAATATGATAATATAATTTACTCATACTGTAATAATACCCCTAAAATTCAAATAAGAATTAAATAGTTAATAACCTGAGAGTTATTTTATATTTTTATTATTATTATGTCAATTATATTTTGCATTTGATAATTAATAGTAGTTACAGAAAGAAAAAAGAAGCAGAAGAAGAATAGGTATGCATAGCTGAAGATCTATAAGAGGTTGTAATTATATTTCAAATGAATGCCCAAACAAGCCATATTTACAGGTTTAAGAACATGTAGGATCCAGTAATTCTACATGTAAACTTGCAATCTTGACAACACAGACTACATCGTGAAAAACATGATTTTCTTAGAACAGATTAATGATATGTTTATAACAAGTTCACAAAAAGTTGCTGCTATGTTCTCTATGTGAGTTATATATGGTAGGCTTTTTCAATTCGGTGGGTTTAAAGAAGATAATCAATGTTTCCCTTATTCACCAAATTGCTTTCTTCTTGATTTGGCTGTGTGAAGTAAAGCAACAAAACCCATGTTTTTGAGCAAAAAGTGTTCAGGCTGAAACCCAGTGTACCATCTTTCAGCTAATATAGATTTGAAAATAAACCTACACACAGCAAAAAATCTAGGGTTCCAAGTTAAACAGTAAAAAAAGACAGATGGCCACATAAGAGAAAGAATAACAAAGTTTAAAAAGTTAACTAATTGACAAGGGGGTAAATAAACTCAGCTATTCATGAACTATCCTTCAACTCACTAAATGTTAGTCTATTCAATCAAGCTTGTTTGTTTAGCTAAACAAATAATTCAAGCTTGAAGATATGTTTAATTATCCAATTGAACCAAACTTGAGTTTTTTAGGCTTCATATTATTAATAGCTCCTAAATAAATTTGTATGTGGATGGATTACCTGGGAGAGAATTGAAATTTTATTTATTGTTATCTTATATCTACTACTTACCTAACTTCAATTTTCAAAAGTCATATTTTAAATGAGTGACCTTTAAATCTCCAAATATTTCATCTTTGATAAACTTAAAAGTAAATCAAGGAGAAATTTGATTAAGGGAAAAAAATTTCAAACCATAAATGCATTAAGCTCAAATTTCATTGTTAGAAAAGCCACGCACAAGCTTTTAATTTAGCTCAACTTGAGCAACGTTTCTTTCTTACAAGTCAAGCTAGAACTTCAAGCACGCAATTTGACTAGCCCGTTTATACCCTCAGTCATAGACAACTATTGATCAGAAAAATAAAGTCACATACAGGAAGGCTATCATTGGTACTAACTTATGGATGATAGACACACCTCACTTCTGCATTTAACCTTGTAGATTGCTTCTCTGAATGATGAGACAAAGCTGTTATTAATTCTGATCTGCCAACAAAAGACAGGGAAATAAAAGTATTAGCTTTGAAATTTAGCAGTGAGAAAAAGGAAAGAACCAACCTGTGCATGATGAAGATCTGGCTCAATGTGCTTCCTAAATAATGGAAAAATGCTATCTATAAGGTAATCCAGTGAACAAGAATCTCCAATGTCATAGCGAACTTTAGAAAGCAGGCTAAAATGAACACCACCAACCTGATTTATCAAAAATATATGTTCTGTATTACTTTCATATTGTGAAACTTATAAGCAGTAGCATAATGAAGGCCGTAAAATTATTAAAACATTAAGGAGGAAAAACATTACCACAGCAACTCGAATATCCAGTAAAGACCGCAATTTTGCATGCAATGAATATGTACCATCAACTATTACCTAAAACCAATTGATCAAAATTAAATAAACAAATGAAAACACAGAAATATTTCAAAACTACAATTAGTTTAGCTTAACACCCCAGATGGAGCGCTCTTTATTGTTTTATAGCCAACACGTCTCTTCTGCTGGTAGTCAAACTCTGGGATTAATGTATCATTGCCTTTAGTCAAATCCTACCAGAAACAAAAAAGCCGGTTAACAAAAGTATAAAAGAAAAAGAAAACTTTACACAAAGCAAGATGTAAGACTCATTTCCATTTTTTACTAAAACCATAAGTTAGTCCTAAACAGTACATATTAATTAATTGATACATAATCTAATCTGTTTCCATCCAAAAGAACAAAAGCAGATAATCACTTCACCAACAGTCTAACATGATAAATCAGCTTCTACTAACGCCTTTCTTTTCTTTTTTTCTTTTTCTCTTTTGGTGTTTTTACTTGTTAGTGTTGGTAAGAATCAGATCTCAGCTTGATAAGGTCTAAACATAAAACATAAAATTTAAGGGCTTAGATAAGATCAGCCTTGCAAACCATCAGGGCAATTTAAACCACGCTAATTAAGAAAAGGCCAGACCAGTATTTTAGACAAGGTAAAGTAAAGGAGAAGCACATGCAAACCTCAAGATTCTTGATCAGGGTATCAAAATCTATAGAATCCAGATCATTCCCCTCATCAACTCCATCACAATAATTCTCCATTGATATAACAGTACAACCAATAACAGATGCCACCTTTTCTGCTAAGCTTCAGGATCAGGAACCATGAAATTGAAAAAAAAAAAAAAAAAACAGGGAAAACTAAGGCAACAGCATACACCACTTCAGCAAAGCATACACAAAAAAATACATTGACAACACTATCTTTATCTTACCTTGTTTTACCAGAACCACTTGGACCACCAATACCAACTGTAACAAGGCCATCCTTTTTCTCTCTCAGTTCTTGGATAGATTTTACCAACAAATAATATCCATGATCAAAAGACTGCACCATTTCATCGCCATTTTAGCAATACTTTCCACAAATTTCACGAATCAAGAGAATTTAAGCACGCAAGAGTTCAGTATACATCAATAGCAATACCATTCAAACTGCAAAATATAAATTTTGCCATAAATCAAAATAATTAGTAAATCTCTCTCTCTCTCTCTCTCTCTCACACACACACACACACACACACCGCACACGCATACAAAAGCAAACAAATACACAATTATAAAACAATAGTAAATTGATTATCAAAAAGGAAACCAAGTTCACTATTCAGCTATTACGTGTGCTTATCGATACGCAAAATTATCAGATGTTTAATAAAGACGCAACCTACAAAATTAAGTTTCGAACCCTAAATATAAAGAAAGGAGAAAAAAAAATACACCAAATTCGGTTCATCCAAATCGCAACCAAGGCGTAGGGAAGCAAAGGCTGCCATATCAGCGAGAAACGAGAAAGCAACAATGGGAAAAGCGAATACGAGGTTGGTGCATGATTTATATACCACATGAAGAGGGAGAGATTGAAGGATGGAGGATGAAGACGAAGAAGTTGAAGGCTGCTGTTGGAAGTAATCGCGTCCTCCTTCATGGAACACTCGCTGAACAACTTCATCATCCATTGTTTTTCTCGATCAACAAAACTACCTCTTCTCGTTTGCGGAAGAGGAATCAATCTTCGGTTTGGTGGAGTGTGATGTGATGGAATCTCTCCAAAAGCAAAAATAGAATTTCGTTATTATTTTTTCTTTTGGTGCCAGAAAGATAAAATTATTATACAATTAAGTATTTGGAATTTCAGTTTTCGTGAGAGTAGACGTGCGTGTCCGTCCTTACCACCCAGTTGAAGATCCCCCCTTCTTCTGCACGTCTTTTTGCTCATTACGTTTTTTTCATTTTCACTGATCTTTTTGAAATTTTGAGTTTATACTTTATTGTTCTCGACTCAACTAGCGTCTCTATGCACTTGCTTTTCCTTCTTTATTTTTTTCTTCAGTTTTTCTTCTCTTGCACGGTTCCGTTGGAAAAAGAAAGGGATAGAAAGAAAAAGAAATATAAAAAAGAGAATCTTTTTATTATTTTTTTAAGCCATAAAAAATCAATGATTCAAAATTACAATCTTTAAGAAGTAGGTGTGTATGAATTAAAGTTTATAAAATTAATTTTAAAAAAATTTATTTAATAACCTTAATTTTAATTGAAAGTGACATCACATTCAGTAACTTATTTTAAATACTGTAATTTAAAAAATGTTTTTGGAAGGTAAATATTATTTTAATAATATATTAGAATCATTGTCTGATATGATAATTTTCAACGACAAGTCATGTTTATGATTGATAATAAATTTTAAAAAAATAAATTAAAAAAAAAGAGTGTGAATAGATCCATTATTTTTTAAATGAGTGAATAATGATGATAAAGATTTCAAAATAGATTGATAAAACTAAAAATAGAAATAAAGAAGCATAGGAAATCTATGAAATATTGTTGAAATATTTTGAAATATTTATCTTTACCATTTTTAGGTGTCGTGGAATAAAAAGAATACAAACAGAAAATTAGTTACATTGATTCCATCCCTAATCTTGTATCCGGATTATGGCTTATAGAATCTGGGGTGGTGTCATCCAGCTTCTTTGGCACCGTTTTTCTCTGATGTTTATCTTGGCCATGCAGTCCGCTGCAGCATTGCCTTCCTTGGAGATATTTATGATGGACACCTTTCAGTATTGTTGGACGAATTGTCTTATTTTCTATCACCAATTCCTTATGTGGGTGGAGTTCCAATTGTGTATTCATATCAATAGACTTGACTGCTGCCTCCTAAGAATCTGATTCACATATAATGTAATGTTCCTGTATCTTAACGTCCATGGGTATTATAACACATCCCTTGTTGCTAGCAGCTCAACCTTAATTATACTGTCTTCCCTGTAGTATGCTATGAATCCTGTCACTTGCCCATATCTGATCTTACCACACTCCCTCCTCCTATTCTGCTACTTCGTTTTGGTTTCGTAGTCCTAGGAATAATGTCAAAATTCAATAGAACTCACCAGAATTCTTCATTCACTCATGATTCTCATAGAGAATATAAAGGAAAACTCAACTCAAAATATTTCATCATCATTCAAAGTAACAATGGGTTCTATATATAGTTTCTTATTTTCAACTGTTTTACCCAACCGTTTATTTGGTGTCAAAAACTCTATTTTTCACTAATTAACTAATTATTTTACAACTAATTACATATTTATTCCTATTTTTAACTGCTCTTACTATGTATTATTATAATCTCTCCCTCCGCTTTTAATAAGGGCTTGACCTCAAGTCTTTCCACTTACTCTCCACTCAAAATCTAGGAATTGCTTTTGTAAATCATGGAGTTCCCTCCAAGTTACATCTTTAGGATTTGTTTCCTCCCGCTGCACAAGTACTTCAGTAATAGCTTGATGGTGCTTTTGTTTCATACGTCTATCCAATATAGCTAGTGGCTTAGGTAGCAAGTCTCCCTCTTCATTAAACCTAGGTAGTTGAGCAGTAATTATGTGATTGCCATGATGTCTCTTTAATAGGGACACATGGAAGACATTGTGGATCTTATTGTCAGTTGAAAGTTTCAATTTATATGTCACTTTGCCTATTCTTTCCATCACCTTGTAAGGCCTATAGTATATGGCTGATAACTTGTGGAAGTATGAGTTTGCCAAGGAATGCTACTTGTGCGACTGTATTTTCAAATAAACCAAGTCTCCATAGTTAAATTCTCTGTAAAGTCTTCCTTTGTCTACATACAGCTTCATTCTCTCCTGTGCCTTGCTAAGATTCTCCTGTAGCAATTTGTCAATTTCTTCTTTGGTCTTCACAATATAGTTAATAGCTTCAACCAAAGTCTCGCCACTATTAACTAAATTAGGTAATATAGGGATATAGCCATATAGTGCTTCAAAGGGTGTCATATGAGTTGTTGTATGAAACTTAGTATTGTACCACAATTCAGCCATGGCTAAGTGGTTGGTCCATTGCTTAGGCATGTCACCAGTAGCACACCTTAAGTAGGCTTCTAATGACTTGTTGAGATTTTCAGTTTGTCCATCAATTTGTGGGTGGAAAGCTGTAGACTTCAGCAACTGAACCCCATGTGCTTTCATCAACCCTACCCAGAAATTACTCAGAAATATTAGATCCCTATCAGAAATTATCTCCTCTGGCCACCCATGATGCCTCACTACAGTGCTCATGAATAAATCTACAACTTTAAATGCTGTAAAGGAATGTCCCAAAGGTATGAAATGAGCATAATTAGTTAGCCTATCAATGACTACTAAGATAACGCTCATCCTATTAGACTTAGGCAGTCCTATAATAAAGTCCATTGTAATGGTTGTACAAGCCCTGTTAGTAGTTGATTTATTGATTTGAACCTTTGACATGTTTCACACTCCTTGATCCATTTCTTAACTTCCCGTTGTAAACCCTTCCAGTAGAAATGGTCTTTAATTCTTCTATATGTAAGGTCAGAACTGGAATGTCCTCTTATTGCTAAGCTGTGAAAGAAACTAAGAATCCTTGTCTTGAGACTTGGCTGACATCCAATCACCACTTTGCCCTTTCTTCTTAATATGTCATTTTCAAAAGTATAGTGCTTAAGAGGTTGTTGAACTAACCTCAATTTATCAACTAGCTTCTGTAATTTTGTATCAGACTTTTAAGAGTGAATAGCTTCAGTCATTAGCTCTGTAGATAAATGTAAGACAACAACTAGGCTTCCCTTACCCTACATTCGAGACAATGCATCAGCGACTTGATTTTCTTTTCCCTTTTTGTATTCTATACTGAAATTCAAACCCATTAACTTCTGTAATCCCCAATTTTGCATTAAGGTTGTAGGTGGTTGTGACAACAATTGCTTCATTGCTTTCTGATCAATTTTAATAGTGAAATGTTTCTCCCACAAATAGTGTTGCCATTTTTTTGTTGCAAATAGCACTACATAAAATTCCTTTTCATAAGCTGAGAGCAACTTGTACTTAAGTCCCATAGCCTTGCTAATGTATGCAATAGGGTGATCATCTTGAAGGAGAACTGCACCAATACCTCCACCAGATGCATCTGTCTCAATTGTAAATGCTTTTTGAAAGTCAGGTAACAGCAAGACTGGTTTAGAAACTAATAAATTCTTTAGCAGTTGAAATGCAATTTCAGTATCCTGAGTCCAGTTGAATTCTAAGTCTTTCTTCAACAACTCAGTCAAGGGAGCTGCAATTTTACCATAATTCAAGATAAATTTTCTATAATACCCAGAAAGACCTAAAAATCCTCTTAGTTCCTTGACAGTAGTTGGGGTGGGCCATTGCTGAATTGCAGAGAGTTTATCTTGGTTAGGTTGAACTCCATTCATGGTTATCAAATGTCCCAGGTATTCAATTGTCTTCTTCCCAAAGCTACACTTCTTAAAATTCGCAGCCAAACTATTCTCCTCCAAAATCTTTGTCAAACACTCCAAATGCTCTAGCCAAGTCCTTGTATAGACTAATATATCATCAAAAAACACCAATATGAACTTCCTTAAATACTTCCTGAATATATCATTCATGAGGGACTGAAAAGTTGTTGGGGCATTGCACAATCCAAAAGGAAGTACAATCCACTCATAATGCCCATAATGAGTTCTAAATGCAATCTTGCAAATGTCTTCGTCAACCATCCTAACCTGATTATATCCACTTTTGAGATCCAACTTCGAGAAATAACAAGCTCCATTTAATTCATCCAGAAGATCGTCTATAAGTGGCATAGGAAATTTGTTTTTGATGGTGATAGCATTTAACTTCCTGATATCAGTACAACATCTCCATGACCCATCCTTCTTTTTGAACAACACCAGTAGAGATGAATACTATGGTTTTCTCTGAAAAAGTAGCTGCTGCACTTGTTTCTCAATTTCCTCTTTCTGCACATGAGAATATCTATAGGGCTTTGTATATACTGGAGTTTCAGTTGTCAATTAAATTTTGTGGTCATACTTCCTGATAGGTGGGAGTTTGGTAGGTTTGACAAACAAGTTTTGAAAGTTGTCCCATACAACTTGTAATTGGTGAGATTGGTCTTTTGTTAAATCCTCTTGATCAGCCTTGTTAGCCACAGTTAGGAAAATTGAACCTTGTATAGCAATCAACCAGCATGTCCCTTCTAACAATATCAGTTTTTCAGTCCATTCTTGTAGCTCCAGACATTATTGTTCTCCTTGAAGAGTCACCATTTGACCTTGATGACTAAATTTCATAGTAAGAGTATTGCAATTCCAGTGGATTTCTCCCAATGTCCTAAACCATTACATGCCTAAGACCACCCCAAAAGTGCTGCTTGACAAAACCAGAAAATTTGCTGTAAAGTTATGGTTATTGAATTTCCAATTTACTGCTTCACACTTCTTAGTGATTAAAATCTTCTTATCCAAGGCTACCATCACAGGAAAATCTTTGATGAACTGTGTTTTTAAACCAAGAAGTTTGACCCATTTCTCACCAATAAAATTATAAGTGCTTCCAGTATCCATCAGAAAAGGCACCATCTGTTTCTTGATCAATCCTCTTAACTGTAAGGTACTTCCTCCTGCAACTCCTTGTAGAGCATTTAGTGAAATATGCACATCTGCACCTTGAGCCAATGCTAAGCTACTATTGATCAATTCCTATTCTTCATCACAACATAAATCAACATCTCCACTATCATCTAATTCCTCTTGAGCACAAAAAATGGCATTAAGCTTACTCCAAACCTTACATTTTGACCTATGATTCTTGTCCCATTTTTCACTACAAAACTGACATAATCCATTTGCTATCCTTTCACTGATTTCCTTTCTAGATGTAACAATGAAATTGTTCATCAAT